TCCACGGCCAAAACGTTGTGTTCTCTTTCTTCTTTTTTTTCAGCATGGAATAAACCTATTACTTGTTCCTAAGTAAAATGTAGACAGTAACAAATAAAACCTGATAAAACCTACCAACCAGGTATGCGCATTGGCTTATTACCGTCATTGTCTGTGATTCAGAACAAGGCAATCAAACCTCCAGTGATTTGAACTGCCCCTATTACATTATAAACTAGCAAGCTTGTGAATACATCTCTTTTATAATAATTGCTTACAATTATCTAGCTCTTTTCTGGACACTCCACTCAAAGCGCTTTACAGGTAATGGGGACTCCCCTCCACCACCACTGTCCAGCCCCACCTGGATGATGCGACACCAGCCATAGTGCGCCAGAATGCTCACAACACATCAGCTATTAGTGGGGAGGAGAACAGAGTAGTGAAGCTAATTCATACATGGGGATTATTGGGAGGCTATGATTAGTAAGTGCCAATGCACTTTGGCAGGACGCTGAAGTTACACCCCTACTCTTTTCGAGAAACACCGTGAGATTTTTAATGACCACAGAGAGTCAGGGCTCTGGTCTCATCCAAAGGACGGTGTCTTTTTACAGTTTAGTGTCCCCATCACTATACTGGGGCATTAGGACCCTTAGAGACTGTAGGGTGAGCACCCCCTACTGGTCCCAGTAACTCCTTTTCCAGCAGCAACCTAAGTTTTTCGCAGGAGGTCTCCCATCCAGGTACTGACCAGGCTCATACTTGCTTAGCTTCAGTGGGTTGCCAGTTGTGAGGGTGATATGGCTGCTGGCTATTTGAATCTAATACAAATATTGGATTTTAACCCAATAGTAATATTGCACTCGACTTCAAGACAGTTTTGACAACAAATACTACTTGTTAACTCTGCATTCAGATCATGTTGGAATATTTCTGCGGTGAAATGTCTCCTGCACATCCTGTACCTACTTTGCTCGCACATTGCATTACATCAGTCATTACAGTGACTAGTGAGCAGGAAGGGCAGCTTCACATCTCAATTCTCACAAACTCTTGCTCTCGAACGTGGCGATACCAGTGGTTTGTGACAACAAAGGCAAACATACAGTACATTCAGGAGGTTAACAATTTGTGCTTAATGCAAAATTTGTCATTTTTTTCTATGCCATGTATTAATACATTTTATTACAGAGATTTAACATCCAGTCTGATAAACTGGGATTGCAGTTCCCCTTTAAGCATTGGGAAATTTCAGGGAAATTGGGTTAGAATGAGTTATGACATTAGCAGCTACTAATTAGTTAAATATTACAACCTCATAAGTTTAGCCATCCAGGACTGTCATGTGTTGACATTACTGTTTGTAATGTAGAACAGAGTATGGCTGTCCTTAACGCATGTGGTCAACATAAACTGCATACATTATTATCTAACAGAAAATGAGAAGATATTTTGAAATAAGCAATGACCTAGCTGAACACAAAGGTCTCCACACAAAACCGGTTTCTCATTATTCTTTGAAATTGGTGTCATATCCACTTTGTATAACATTTTTACTGCATCCTTACAGGACCTTTCAAAGGCTAGCAACTTGAAACGTCTCCTTTCAAAGTACCCCAGGGAAAATTTCCCTTGGTAATCTTTCAAGCAGTAGTTTTGTTACAAATTTTCAATAACACTTAAATCAAGCCTTCTAAAACTATGTTATTTAGGGCAATGCTTTTAAAAAATATGGCCCTATTTTGTACAGACTATAGTAATACACTTACAGATAACCTATACATGGATCTATAATAGCTCCTCTCATTAATATAGTATGTTAAACAATTGTTTTTTCCAATGTATCCCAAACTGTTTTCAAGATATGAGGGGTCTTGCCTCATCTATTACTGAAGTGTAACAATGACTTGAGTGCACAACAGGTCTTATGTGTCCCCATTAGTAGATCAGGCAGAAAACTGTTTCACCAATTGAACTGATGGAGAACTACAGGAATGTCCTAGTATGTCAACGCCCTGTGGAATTTTACCAAAACACCAAAGCTAATGCCTCTACTCTTCTGAACAGTGCAATGGGGTGTGTAATGCCCATGTTGTCGGTACCTCAACAGAAACTGGGTATCTCCTACAGTACAGTGTTCACATTCCTCACATGGAGTCATTATTTGGAAATTCTGGTCCCAAATAGCTCTGGTTTTCCTTAGAGGTCTCCCATACCAGGTCTCCCATTTACTCATCAGTGCAAAAGTGATTGAGAAGGATGCTGATTGTGTGCATCATGTGATAATGTCAATATATTATTTTTTCTCTTTTGTTACATAAAGTTAAAACATTTTTCCTCACTATGTATCTTACAGCTTGAGTTTCCTGGCTAAATTCCTAGAACATATTCATTTTCATCTCTGCTTCCTTCTTTCTTATTTAAAAAGTAAGGAACTGGGGAATTGTCTTTTTTTTTATACTGACATCTGATAAAGGCTCTTATTCAACATACCAGATAGGCTTTTTTGCAAAGTATTATGTTTTGGAAGATTAAGGTCAATTAAAAAAAAACCGATAGGTTGGAACTGCATTAAAACAATAGATTGTCCATTTCTAACAAAATACTCTATACTAATGATACAAACTGTAAACAAATACATTCTTTTCAAACAGACATTATAATAAATTCATTTGCGCTATTGGTATGCCAAATATCCTTTTCATTCCATTGTAATGTCTCTCATTGCGCCACTTATAACATGATCTCTTTTATGGTGTTAGGAAGAGGAAGCAGTGAATCAGCAACCAGAAAAAAAAAACTTTTTGTTCTCTTTCAAATTTTGACTCCAGGGCTTTAACTGTACACTGCTTCAGATTTTATTCATTTAAAATTAAACAAAAAGTCTAGTTGTCAACATAACCTCAACATTTCCTGGTATCCGTTTTTATTAAGTCATTATCATCTCATAATTATTTTATATGATTCTAATATATAGTATATAGTATATAGTATATAGTATATAATGATTGTTGAACAACTTCGCCATTTTTGGACAATTACATCAATTATTGTGTAAATACATTACTAAAAGAAAAATGATAGGGTTCATTGCAGGAAACTTTTACATCTAGGAAACACCCAAATACCATTGTCTAAACTCTTTTATTTCCACATAATTTTCCTATAATACCAAGCATATAGTTACCACTGAACTGTACGTTCTGTGCTCATTACCAGTCATGCCTACAACAATATTCTGGAAAGTGTTCCCGGAAATCTTTGTTTTTTTCTTCTTTTACTGATAAATGGGTAATCTTCTGTAAACTGATGCCAAAACTCCTGAAACAATGAAATGTATATAGGAAAACATTTTGTACATGATACTCTTGAGTTCATACAACAAAGTGATAGTAAATCCTGAAATTGTTTTTTCTATTTCAATATAATATTCCTGTCAAAACAAAACAATAAATATTTACAGCAATGGAAGATGGTCTCGAAAATAGAGTTAAAAATTTTATATTATATTTTATATTATTATTAATTGTATTATTATGTGACCAGATTGTTTTAATCAATTTTCATCATCTACTGTATACATTTTTAAAAATATTTAAATAAGCAAATGTACAAATGGCTGTGATCATATATTCTTTCTTTTTCATGATCATGACATCTATTTTTCAATATAATTTTACAATGGGTGTTTGTATTCCCATAGCAAAGAATTCCTTAAGGTGATGAACGCAAGACATTATAGTGTTCTTCAATGTCTTGTTACCACTGCAACTAAAATATTGTCATCATGAGTATTCCCACTGAATCATTGGTGAATTTGATTGCTTCAGTTCTGGACTGAGTCCTGTGTTCTGGGGTTTGCAGTGATGTAAACTGTGGATTCTGCGAGTGAGTTCTGTTATTTTTTCTGTATTAAAAATGCACTGGTAACAATCTCACTTTGTGTGAGTTTAAGTGAACTTAATAAGGAAAACAAAAGAAATAATAACAGTGACCCTACCTATAGAAACACCTTTATATACATTAATGCACAAAGTATTCAATATAAGCATTGTCTGAAATGTCTGTTTCAGTGTATGAAACACTTTTAGCAAAAATGATACCACACTTCATAGGTCACAAACTAAAACATTCAACGTTTTCCTGAATTTGCCATCTAGAGTAGTAATTTATTTGAATGATTTTTATGTCCTGTGTCCTCAATTTAAAACAATTATTTAAATATAGGCAGTACAGTATTCTAACCACACTGATGCACAGATCCAGAGCTTATTCTTGTTTCAATGGTGTTAAACGAAAGAAGGGCACATAACCCAGGATGGGTCGCCAGTCCATCACAGGGCCTACCCCCTGCAATTTCCCACTACATTAATTATTTATGCACATAAATATAACATTTCATATAAATGGAGCTCTCTTGACTCACTACAGAGGTCTTGACATAACAAATGGCAACAACTGTAATATTTTTAAACGAAAATATGTTGATAAGTGTTCCCTCCAAATTGCGTTGAGTTAGAAAAGTTAGCAATTTGTTACAATTAACAATTCGTTGTGTGTAATACGTAACACGGGTTGCAAACTGACATCCTAATCCATAAATATTAATAACTGTCAAGCAAGAAATGAAAACAAAAGTAAATATTTGTTATAAAATTTAAATGTTCGCTGACTCTCGAATTGCCCAGGCTGATATAAATCCTGGGAGGTCCTACTGCATGAAAAGAAAAGATCTTCGTGGGCTCTGTTCTTCTTGTAACACCTGTAGGGTAACTGTCCTCATTTCCAGAGCAGTGATTGGTTCCGAAATGGCAGGAGTACCTGAATAACAACTTATTAAAAGAATCCAGTTCATCTTTTTGTCTTCGACTCTCTTGTATGCAACTTATTGAAATCCGAAGTCATTGTTAAAGATGGGATTGCTGGGTACATTAGGTTTCCCTTTATTTTTTGTGTCTCTGATTCAGGTAAATATAATTTCATATTTGTAGAGAAACAAAATAACATATATTAATTATTTAACGATTTTAAATGGTTTTAAAAATACTTACTTTTGACCTATACTTTTGTTTCATTTCAGATTTCATTTGGCCAGCAAAGTGGTAAGTGTGATATTTAATGGCATAAAAGGCTGTTTATGCTATTGAATGCATTACATTAATAAAATATGTAATATTTATCTCAGATTTAAGGCGTATACGGTTAATCCGTACAAAAACGATACATATACAGTACTAATAAACTCCTTAACAGATAAACACCAACCTTCCTCAAGCTGTATTTATGATAACTAGTGATTAATAGGAAAATAGAATCTTTATCGTAGTTAAATATCGTAGGTTCAAAGCTGCAGTTTATATTCGTAAATAAAATGTTTTTCGGGTCTTTATCAGTAATAAGAGAATTGTACGTTAAACAGTAATATATAAAGGGTGACACCTTGTGGTAAATTAATACAGCGATGAAATTAAGCCAAATGGAGGCATTTGAAAAACTTACTTTTCTTTATGCATACTGTGCATATTGCGTTAATTTACGAATGTATTAATTTTAGGAAGTTTAGACACTATGTCTATGAATATACTGTACAATATCTTCAACAAGACGCAATAAGATTTTTCAAAGCCTATCAAAGTTCAACACAAAATATTACTACTGCCATTAATACGAACACTACCAATAATGCTTGTCTGAGATAAAAAAATACAATTTCCAGGATTTTGAGTCGACTTTTTCAAATTTGTACTGTATTACATTGCAATATGCCCTCCTTAATAAAAGGATAATTACTAATTACTAATAATCTTATTATTGCGTAAATGTAGTTTGGGTTTCTTTCTCTTACAGATTTCAGGATTGTGGAGATAACATCTCCCTCCGCGTCCCAGCTGAATGTAAAATGGACATTATGCCGCGGTGCTACAAACTACCTTCTGGATATAAGGATAGACAATGTTTTCAATGTCGCACCGGTCGTTGTTATGTTACCTGCATCCACCACAACAAAGCTGGTTGAAGGTGTCAGACCCGGAACTTTATATAATGTGACAGTCAAAGCCTTCCAGTTTTACTACATAATCAACTCTACCTCAAAATTGGCCACAACAGGTAATGCTCCATCTCATATTTTTTTCGAAACTAATTTCATTCTTTGGCGTTATGAGTACCTTTTGTCCATTAATTAAATAAACATTTCCTCACGAGATTAATCTGTGATTTCTTGACAATTGATCTTTTTTTTAGTCCCTGCCACATCTCAAATAATCTCTTCGGAATCGGTCTCCAGTTCCACAATCAGAGCGCAGTGGTCCAACGCCACCGGGGCAAGTCAATACTTCTTGATTGCCGAAGCTACATCATCCGTGCAAAAAGTTAACATGTCATTTACTACCCTAAACGGAGAGATAAGCAATTTACAGCCGTCAACAACTTATAATTTATATATTTATTCTGCAAATTCGGCTGGCTTGGGAGCTCCCGGCAAAGTACGAACGGTCACAACACGTAAGTGTATTTTTTACTTAAGGACTTTTGTATAAAAAAATTACTTTCACCAAGCTGATATGGCTTATATATCACCTTCTGCCTGTTCGAACCCCCATCAGTTTTTCATCCAAAATGATCACAGAGCGCTTTACACATAGGAGAGGACCCATCTCATTCTTAACGACTAAACAAAACCATGTCCAAATTATATAATAGGAAGCACTTTCCACTTGACATAAAGCATTTTTAAGAGATTTTATGGAGTTTGGGGGGTCATGTTATAATCACGGCATTTTTTACATTTTTAGTTAGAAATAAATAATCTATTTAGTGAAGTTTGAAAGCTTGATTCAGCTTTAAGGTTCCTCTAAATCAGATTTTAATCTTTCCTCCCACAGTGGTGCAGCCTCCAGTGGGAGTGACAGTTCAACAGGCTGGCCCAAACAGCGCCCTCTTGAGTTGGCAGCCAGTAGACAAAGTTCTGGAGTATGGAGTCTCCATTTATGAGAATGAAACCATTAAAAGCAACCCTGTTGTGAAGAAAACGTCTTCCACTTCCTTGCAAATCAACAATCTCTTGCCTTGCACCAAGTACCTATTTGGAATAGGTTCTTCCAACAACTTTTTAGTGTTTGGAGAGCAAACCTTTGTCCGGTATATGACTGGAAGTAAGTAAATAATATGCAGTAACTGACGTAAATTGAATCACTAATTATATGATCATTCGGATTTTTAAGGACACCGAATTTGTATTTTTATCTCTAGGATATGGTTTACTACCATGTTACATTGCATGGCTCAAACATCAATGTAAGATGATGCATTTATAATAAAACTAAAATAAAATGTTCATGAAATTGTGATTAGCAGTTTAGATTCGAGCATTCCACTTTGAGAACCGAATCTCGAAACGTGTATACACCGCAGGTGTATAAAAGCTGTATTGGTAACAGTTTCATTATGAACTTTTGAGAGTCGGTCTTCTATAATTCAATTTGAAAAGCTACTAAAAAGCTACACCCATCACCCAGGTGGGTGCTGCACATTGGTGGTGGTGGAGGGGAGTCCCCATTACCTGTAAAGTGCTTTGAGTGGAGTGTCCAGAAAAGCGCTATATAAGTGTAAGCAATTATTATTAATTATTATTATAATTATTTATGTTCAATCCAGATTAGAAGTTTTTCTTCACATTCATTTTTTTCAGGTTTAAATCCAGTGGCAGCCATTACGACAAACTACAGCTGTGCCAGTGGTCTGGTGACTATTAACTGGGGGAACACTTTTGGTGCATCATCCTACAGGGCTGTTGCTACTCCTCGCAATGGCACCACACTTTCCTGCTCTGCCACATCAACCAGCTGCCAGATTACTGGGGTACAGTGTGGGCAGAGATACACAGTGAGTGTCACTGCTATCTCTGGCAGCTGTGAGAGTTCCTCTAATGCAACCGCCATCTTTGAGACAGGTACTGATGATGTTCACTAAATCAAAATAACTTTTTAACATACCTGAGCAATCACAGATTATTCTACATACAATGCAGTTATAGTGTATGTGCTGTGCTTGTTTTGTGAATGCCTTTGTATTGTGTTGAATAATTTCCTTGATGGCAGCACTGATGCCATGTGAACACTACTCAAGTGCTTCAAGAGTACTTCACTGGCTTGAGACTGCTCTAGTAGATTATAAGTGAATGTTGACTTTACTAGTTGTAATAGAATCATTCTGTCATCCCAGTTCACTTGGTACATCCTATCCAAGAACTAACCATATCTAAGAGAAACAAGAGTAAGCCCCTTATTTGACAGTAGCATCTCCTATTGTAGGTGTTTTCCAGCTGAAACAGCTCCACAGCTGTGACACAGAAACACATTGGACTGGCACTCATTTTCTATAAAACCCTAATGACAATGATGACACGTTGCAATTTATTCATGTCATGATTCATATTTTCTGTATGTTCCCTGCCCTCAAGTAAGCCCCCTTGAATAAAGCCACATGTTTAAGACTGAGAACCAGTTTTAAGACATCCTTGTCAACAAAACCAAAGACCGATGAGTTTCCCTTTTGATTTGCTTTTTCAGTTCCATGTGCACCTACCAATTTGGGGATTTTCCGGGACTGCTACAGCAATGTCATCATTTTCTCCTGGGACCCAACAGCCAACACCATGTACTATGTTGCCAAGGCCATGGACTCCAATGGAGAGATCACAGAGTGCAGGACCACAGACACATCGTGCTTTTTCACCAACACTGGTTGTGGCCTGGGATACCAGTTCACTGTGTACTCTGTAAATGGGGAATGCAGCAGCAGGATCAGTGCCCCAGCCCGAACTCGAACTGGTAATTGATCGTGAGACTGGCGGGACTGAGAGAGGAAGATGCCAATAATGTTTAATGAGAGAGAACTGTTTGCATGTATCAAATACTGTTATCATTCCATGCCACCTTCCAAATGTTCTTCCTCTAATGGGAAGAAAAATTATTCTAGCACAGCACTGTAGAGCTAATTCAAATCAATCAATGAAAAATGCAGTTTGCTTTTTAAGGGAATTACAAGAAAACCATTTTCTGGATTGAAAACAGTATAAAAAAGGTTTGGTTGCCTATTCGTACATCTTTTCTTACAATGAAAAGTCTATTTTACATGTGCTATATGGTGGCTGCTATTTTTGAAGAGAAACCTAATTTGTAGAAAAAGTGATTTTTCTCAGGGAGACTCAGTCATGTGTTTGTGTGCATTTCAGCACCTTGTGACCCAAAGAATGTGAAAACCATAGGAGAATGCCTGTCTGATATACTGATTGTAAGCTGGGAGCCTGCTGCAGGTGCCCTGTCCTACACAGTTGAGGCCAAGGGTAACACAGGAGTCCGCTACAACTGCAGCTCCTTCACAACCAGCTGTGCTCTGTCTGGTGTGCGGTGTGGCGAGAGTCTCAGTGTTTGGATCACAGCCTCAAATGATGACTGCATCAGTGACAGCGCTCTTGGAGAAGTGGCAGAAACAGGTAAACGTGTATCTTTGGATCTGTTATAACAGCAGGCAGGCCCCTCACTACAGTAGCAATATTTCTGAATTGAAGCTACACCAAACTGGCACTTTGCTGTGAATTGGGACAACAGTATCAGAAAGACCAATACTAGAATCCAAGTGCAGAGCCGAAAGGCATTTAAAACACCGCTGATATAGATGTCCAGCTTCTTTCCTCATACAATGGACGGTTAAAGGTTGAGCTATCCAGTATGTGTTTGGGAGGTGGAGAAAAACCAGAGCATCCACATCCACTTACCCACAAACAAAGGGAGAAAATGCACATTCCAGCCGCAATTGAATTCAGAATCTTCGAGCTGAAATGGCAGTGCTAACCACCAGACCTCTATGCTGAAGCAAGAATAGTGTCCATTGAAGCCAGATTTTTTTCACTGAATTTATTGCATAGTGCTCTTTAATATATTCGTGGAAAAAATCAGCTGCACTTCGTTTTTTTCAGTTTGCAAGGGTGTCTCATGAAATGTTTTATACAGGCTGCAATGGCACCCTGTTCTAGTCTAGCCTGAAGTAGGAATATAAATCAATTCTGTTTCAAAGCCAAAAGGTCTCTTTTTCCATTTGATGCTTCTAAAATATGAGTACCTGTTTTCTGATCTGTAAAAATCTTGCATTTCTTAAAGGCAGCTGTCATCTACAAATGTATATTTACTTGCTCTTTGTGTCTTGGGCACCAAGATGTCTAAAAGAATTAAAGTATTGAATCCATATTAAAAATACAGATTCAAAGCAATAACATTTGGACAAAAATACCAGTTTTGGTTTGGAATACTTTACTTTCCCTTGTATGGTAGCAAAAAAATGAAGTGGATATCGGTTTTGCCATTTTCTTCTAAATGTTGTCAAAACAGTTTGTCGATCCTGGAGTGATTAGTGAATTTGTACCCTTTGTGGATTAACAAAGAACACTTGTATGAATGAGTTGTCTTTTTATCAGTAGCTAATGGGGTTAAAAAAACAAATTTTTTCCAACAATCAGAGTGCGATCATTTAAAACAGCGGAATGTTTTCTTTTCCAGTGCCCTGTACACCTAGAAATGTCACTGTAGATTCTGACTGCAGTTCCAACTCTTTCTCTGTGAGCTGGGACTACAGCAGAGGAGCTCTGTTCTACATAACCACTGCAGAGGATTCTGAAGGCAACCAGTATAACTGCAAAGATACTAGCACACAGTGCCAAATCAAGAATCTGAGGTGCGGCCACTCCTACTCTGTCTTTGTCATAGCAACCAACTTCATGTGCAATAGCTCTGAGAGTTCCCGTATAACAGTTGAAACAGGTAATTTCCTTATACCAGTAAATCTTCTGTTTAGGCATATCATTTTAAACCACCATGTTTTAAAAATCCTCTTTTCTCTGCTATTATCTGCTGCCAATTTCACTAAAATCAGTATATGAGAGTAAGTATATGATATAGACTGTACCTTCTTAGTTATCTGCCCCTGATGTACCCCGTCCCTGGCAAGCAATATATCTGGTTCAGAGGCTGGAACTGTATTATTTTTTTCTTGAGCTTGTTTTTGTTGTTTTATTTTCTAGCACCATGTTCTCCTGAATCTGTCGATGTATTCCTTGACTGTGCTGCAAATCATGCTTTGATAATATGGCAAAATATTCAGGGACGCAATACCTATACAGCTATGATTGAAGACAAAAGTGGGAGTACCCTTAACTGCAGCACACTCAGCAACAACTGTTACATTTCTGGACTGAAATGTGGGCAAGTGTATTCAGTCTTTGTAATCCAGCATAATGGGAAGTGTGCAAGTCCACCATCAAGAGCCATTAAGATGAATTCAGGTGTGTATGCATGTGTAGTGCAACACTGCCAGGGATACTACATTCATATAGCGAGCCTCTTAGACTGGTCCCAGGCATCGAACACAAAGAGAGCAATCCAGCCCAAGAACTATACTTTTTTAATGATGTGCAGTGCAGGTAAATAAGAAGACAAAACAAACTGGTAGAGCTCAAGAAAAGCTAAGTTATCTTCCACGGGAGTTGTCTTTATCAATAACCGGACACCTAAAATGCTTATTGGTATAAATAAATACCTCTGAAAAAAAATCACAGCTCAATATGCGTGAAATAGTCGGTCAGTCACTTCCCGAATATGTTCAGTGAGAGTGAACATATTGCTCAAAGCCACCACTAGGATTTCGTTCTATCATAAAACCTTTGACTTTAGATCATACATCTTAGTTTGTGTGAAAAGAAACCATGCCATTTTAGTAATTTTAATTCTCAAATATAGGTTTAAGCAACCTGTCAGTTAAAAATCAACATAGAGTTGTGTTAAAAAGAAGGAAAAACTTTAAGAGAAAAATTATAGAGTAATGTAAATAAAAAATGCAAGACATAATTCAAAATGTTTAATTGCTACAACCTAAGGATACAAAGGCAAAAAACATTATACATGTAATGTTAACCCTGTCTTATAGCAGTTACAAATGTTTATCAATGGTTCTTCTTTCTTTAAGAAAATATGAATTTATGGCTTGATGGCCATATCAATAATCAGCAGTCAAATAAAATGTTTTTTTATGTTCTTTCCTCTTTCTCTTAGTTCCTTGTGGTCCTGAAAATGTTAAAACGTATGTGAACTGTGGAATGGGAACCATGATGGTGGATTGGGATATTGAAATTGGGGCTGAGAGCTACCAAACCATAGTGGCTGCTGGAAATGGGGAGAGTAAATATTGCAGCTCCACTGAAACTAACTGTGAAGTTAGGGATCTGGAGTGTGGGCAGTCCTATACTGTTGTGGTGATGTCATTGAATGGCACATGCCAAAGTTTGCCAAGCAGAGATGTAATTGTTCAAGGAGGTAGGCACATCATCTGCCTTGATCTGATATAATATTTTTTTAGATCTGTATCACAACAACAATTACCTACTCTTCAATATTGTGCTGTTAAGTGCTATTTAAAATATGAGTCAATTTTCCATTCAGCTAGCATGGTCTTGATGTATGGCCAAAATAATGTGTGTCCTTAAATTCCATGTTTTCAGTTTGAGAAATTTTAATCACAGGAACAATAACTACACCTAACAGGATTTTTTGTGCTCTTAGCTCCGTGTGTCCCTCAGAATGTTACGGCAGAGCTTAGCTGTTCTGGGAACAAGGCAGTGATAAGCTGGGAGGAAGGAAAAGGCGCCAAATACTACACAGCCTCAGCAGTGGGAGAAACCGGACACAAAGCCAAATGTACCTCTAATAACACTGCTTGCAGCATCCCAAACCTACTCTGTAGTGAGAACTACACTGTGGCAGTGACTGCATCAGACAATTGTACAAGCCTTCCAAGCTCAATATTCAACTTCCAGACTGGTACGGAGCTCTATCTGTAATATTGGTTTGTGGTTCCGATTTGTAGGTTAAATGTTTTGTGTGAAGGGCTGATGCAAACAGATGAAGCGCCCAAAAGTCTCAGAAGTTTCAAAATCCTCTTCAAAGGATAAATGAATTACGTTTAATATGCCTCTACTTACAGCTCCTTGCCCTCCAGTAAATGTTGAAGGCTGGATAGACTGTACAAACAACACAGCCTTCATTTCCTGGGATCCCAGCAAGAATGCAAAAGCCTACAGGGTCAGAGCTGTTGGAACTAGCGGACACACTTCATCATGTAACAGCACCAAACCTAACTGCCAGTTAAGGGACCTTCACTGTGGTCAGGAGTATACATTCACTGTTATAGCAACAGATGGACATTGTGACAGTAATGAGAGTCTACCATACAAACAAGAAACAGGTAATGAGTAATAATTTCAGTGAATTTTAGATGCTTTTTGCTCTTAATACACAACCCTTATATTATTTAGTCCTGGCACTCCTTTCGGGAGTATAGGGAGTATCATGTCTTCTGTCACCACTTTGATGTCCCAGACGTGGTGAGTTCACTATCTTACTATAACTGAGATTCCCCAAACTCCAATTGGCAGAGCACTGCCAGTAAAAGATTGGGGTTAGTTAATCAGAGTTCTCTCGGCTCCTTAACGAAACAGTGACTCCTGCTACCTTCTGGGTGCCGGCAGGATTGCTGCGAGGTAAATGAGAGACACTGTTCCTCCATTTACTGTTTGTTCTCCTGTAAAGCTTGCATGCCGTCAAGAGATGATTAACTCTAGTGGGCGGTAAGGTCTGGGCAGCATGGTTTTTCCCCATGCATACCTGGAATTCCTGGGAAGTATAGAAAGTTTTGCTGAGGGTCAAGATGTTTTAATTTAATTATTGTTTTAACTTAAAAATACAAAAATGTACATTAAAAAAATAATCCCTATATACTTAAATTCAAGTTGATGAGAGTGGGAGGAATGGCTTTGTCTGAACTGTATGTGATCATCGGAGTGCTAATCATATGTTTATTGTTCCAGCTCCCTGTGCTCCAAAGAATGTTGAGAAAATCCTTTACTGTAATTCTAACATCCTGCTGCTCTACTGGGACCCTAGTCTAACAGCTCTAAATTACACTGCCGCAGTGCAGGGCCCCAGTGGGTTGGCACACTCTTGCAATACTAGCGATACCAGCTGCAATTTCAGACAGCTTCAGTGTGGACGCCAGTACACAGCCACAGTGAAAGCATATAACAAGAACTGCAGCAGCCCAAATAGCATCACTACCACTGTAAAAACAGGTTGGTTTAAATTAATTCAATAGAGAATAGCATAGGAATACATATTTAATGCCAAAGGCATGCCATGGCACTTAAAAAGTAGACCTTTGCCAAGTTATGTATCATTTGGCATGCTAAATGGGATTTTATTAATGTGTTGTTTTTTTCTTAGTGCCATGCATTCCCCAGAATGTGAGAGGTGATTTAGACCACACCGGCAACTTCCTTGTGGCGTCGTGGGGTAACACTTCAGGAGCAACGGTCTACATAGCTGTGGTGACTGGGCCGGACAGCTATATGGAAACCTGCTCCACAGCAAACTTGACCTGCACATTTGGCAACCTGAAATGTGCTGAACAGTACGACATTACTGTGTCTGCTGGAAATGACCAGTGCAACAGCACCCAGAGCTACCCTGCATCTTTATTAACAGGTGCTAGAACTGTTGTACAAGATTTGGGAATTCGTGCAAAGAAAGGAATGGGGCCATTTCTAGGATAATTAACCAAGTACCAGTTTGCATTAGTCCATAGTTCGCTGGGTAGAACCTGGCTTTTTACCAGAAACAAAAATAAGAACAAATCCACATAAGAGGTCATAACCAGTGCTGCCAAGTCTACTTAAGTCATGGATTGGTATTGTTTTACTTGAAGAACATATTTATTTTATTTTTAAAGAGATGAGTGGGTGACAATAGGTGTGGTTTCAGTGATTAATGACTAAGAAATTTGATCAGAAAACACCCTACTCCTCCCTACCCTCCTGTCTTCACCTACAAAACATATAGTTTACACACTCCAGTGCCTCTTCAATGACTTGGGCTTGATTAAAAAGGCAGTAAAACCTGTATTTACACAGCACCAAAGAGCAAACAGCATTATGCCAACTTTAAACAGGTTCAATTAAGTTTAATGTAATTACATCATTTAACTCAATGCAGCAGTTTGACTTGATTTGAGTCTGATGTATTTTGTGGTCAAACTATAAGTTAGGCATGTGTTAGTTCTTTACTACTAAAAAAATGAAGCTAGTATCGATGCCAGTTTTTCAGCTATAAATATCTAATAATATCATTCAAATTATGAAACATAGTATATTTGGCATTTAGTACTGAAACAAATCAGAAAAACATTTATATGTATATATGTATATATATATGCATTTATATGTTAATATGTAGTTTATAGCCTATTTCTAAAACTAAGTATTGGCTGTTTTTAATTAATATTGTAAACTAAATTGAAATAACAAGTTCTATTTTAATACCTTTTTACTGGTGTTAATTGTTTTACCTGTGTTTTTTCCTTCTTTCTGTTCTTGATGTTTGTTTTAAAGTTAGTATTTTTTTCTTGTTTTAACAGCCCCTTGTGAGCCACAGAATCTAAACCTTAACTTTGACTGTGCCTCCAATATTGCCATTGTGTCCTGGGAGACCAGCATAGGAGCAAAGACCTACACAGTTCTAGCGGAGGGACAGAACAGTCATCTAGCTTCCTGCCAGACCAGTGACACTTTCTGTCGGCTCAGCCTACTAGACTGTGGGCAGCTGTACAATGTGACAGTGCTGGCAGATAACGGCAAATCTAACAGCTCATCACAAACAAGTCTCGTTTTAGAAACAGGTGGGCTTGGGCTTTTTGGGAAAATATGATGTGTCTTCCTTACAACATACACTGCATTGTTCAGTTATGTCATGTAATGTGCTCACTATATTGTTACCGCTGAAAACACGCAGACTCCTGTGTTCTTTGAATTAATAGAATGGATTGACCATGTAATGTGTCGCCTGATTACTTGAATTCTGCAAATATAGAGAGCTAGGCTATTACTTATTGAAGTCTGTGACTTATCCAGCAGCCAATCGCTAATTGCAAACCTGATAATAACAGCTTATTTTCTATTAGAGGCTTCTTGCATTTATTAAATAGAAGGCCACCATCATGTACTAGGATGCTGAATTTGCGTTATTCGTATGAGCAATTAAGTGACAGTGGTTAGCATTATTGGCAGCTCTTGGGTCCTGGGTGTTTGTGTGGGTTTCCTCCGGGTGCTGTCTGCGTTCCTCCCACAGTCAGACAGGTAGGTTAATAGGCTTCTTGAAGAATTGGCTCTAGGTGTGTGTGTGTGCATGTTTGTGTCTACCTTGCTATGGAAAGGTATCCCATCTAGGGTGTACCCTGCCTTGAGCCTATTGCTTGCCAGGAAAGGCTCTGGCTCCCCTGCGACCCTGTATTGGAAGAAGAGGATAGAAATTGGATGAATGGATTCAGACAATTTTCAGACAGTTTTATTTTTATATAATGCAGTCTTTCAGTGTTTTTATTGAGGCATAGTAGTATTACAGTAAGTAGAACTGGATTAGATTTTATTTGTGTTAATTAATTAACTGTGTCATTCTTTTTGCCCTTCTTGCATCGTTCTTTGGCATTTATTACCAAGGTGTCATTTCAGCGCATGCAAATTGTTGGCTGCTTTATCACGATATAGACTACCAGCTTAAAGGAATCTGCTTTTTCTTTGTTTCTCTTTTAAGCTTCCTGTGCTCCACACAATGTACAAGCTTCTCTGGTGTGTGCAAACAATACTGCCGTTGTATCATGGGATTCTAGTGCTGGCGCAGAGTCCTACACTGTGACTGCTCAGGGGTGGAATGGACACACCACATCTTGCAGTTCTAACAGCACAAACTGTTACATCTCTCACCTACAGTGTGGAGTGATGTATGATATCACAGTGATACCCCTAAGGGACAACTGTGCAGGATTCCAAAGCAGCACTTTCAGGTTCAATGCAGGTACAGCTCAGAACTTGAAATCTTACAAGCATAAATTAAAGTACTTACAGGCTTTAAAGATCTGTCTTTGTTTAGAGCTTTATCCTGGCAATTCTCAAAATTATGACCTTGTTTTGCAGGTCCTTGCCCCCCTTCGAATGTTGACGGCAGACTTGATTGTTACACCAATATCGGTTCTGTGTCCTGGGCCTTTGATCCACAAGTAGAGATGTATTTTGCCACTGCCACTGGCCAGGATGGACATACTCATACGTGCAATTCCAGTAGAGCCAATTGTTCTTTCACAGACCTCCACTGTGGAGAATCATATACAATCACTGCTGTTGCACGAGAGAGAAACTGCAGCAGTGCACCAAGCTCTGGCTTTAAGATTAAAACAGGTAACCCAAGTTCTGTTTTTGCAGTGCAGGGGTTGTGACCTAGAATCATATGCTAACAATTGTGTAAATAAAGAAGTCTTTTCTTTTTCACAAAACATGTGAAGTTTATCACACAGGAAACTCAATTATATTTAAATGTTTCTAACCTATAGAGTCAAGGACTGATACAATATTGAGTAATGGAATTTTGTTAACTTATTTGTTCTCAGTAGCACTATAAGAGTTGAGTCAAGTGCAGTTTATCTTATTTCTTTACTCATTGTTTCTTCAGCACCATGTCCTCCAAGGAATCTGGATGGACAGGTCTTCTGTGCCCAAAATATTATGTCATTCATGTGGGATGGAATTACTGGAGCAAAGTCCTACTTTTTGTCTTCTAAAAGTCTGGATGGCACCATTACCACCTACATGACAATGGACACCTCTTACTATCTCTCTGGACTGCAGTGTGGGCAGCATTATTCCTTTAGAGTCACATCACTGGATGGAACATGCAACAGCAGCCTGAGCAACTCTCTGGAATTGAACACAGGTAGCTGCTGAATTTAAGATATACTAACGCTGATAACAGATCTACACCTTTTCAATTGAAAGTAATTTGTTTACTGTCAGTTCATTGAAATGTTCATGAAGAAGAGTAAATGAAATGTGTATGAAGTAAATAAAGGTGTATGAATGATATCAAATCTGTCAATCACAAATTGCAAACTAAATAATTGATGGTATGTTTCCAGTGGATAGAATTAGAAAACTTTGGTAAATAGAAGACATTCATCCAGTGTTCTTTTTGGCATTTGTAATCGATGTGTTGAAGATTTCAGTTAATCCACCAGCTGCTGTAGCAACTGGAATTGTGTAGTAGCTTTGTGTGTTGATGAACCCTTCCTAATTTTATATCTACAGCACCATGTCCACCTAGAAATGTAGGTGCAAATGTGGATTGCGGAAGCAATAAAGTAGTGATCTCCTGGGACAGGAGTGAGGACGTGATGTCCTACACAGCCATAGCTGAAGGATCCCATGGGCACAAGACCTCCTGCACCACCAACAGCACTTCCTGTGTAGTTAAGATGGACTGCGGGCGTTCGTATATAGTCACTGTATTATCCACCTCTGCCACCTGCAACAGTTCTCTAGAGTCAAACATTCAGGTTGAATCAGGTAATAAATAACAACAAAGACTTTAAATATCATTCTCTGAGTAAAATTATTTTAGATTTAAATTTCATTTGATTTTATTCTGACATTTCAGTGTTCAATTACATTTTTAATGTTTTATTTTTTGTAAATGAACATTTTGTGCGCATAGTCTTGATCTTATAGAAAACTGTAAATCATTTCAGAAAGTTGATAAGACTTCCAACAGGGCTTAGCTAAACTAAGAAAAAGCAAAATCCCTATGGAGCATCAAAACTATTGTTTTAAGTAATCAGTGGCATTGAAAGGTGCAAGACTTAATCTTACCACCATGTGAACTGATTTCATTAGATCTCAGAATCTAAACAAGACCAAGGAAGACCAAGGAAAAACAAGGTTTTGCTGTATGCAGTAGTGGTAAACAGAAGATGATGCATTTCTCTCTCTACCAAAATTTTCAAAACAATACCTCAGTACTGTAACAAGGGACTCTGTTCTGCAGGAGTTTGAGATACTTTATATGAGATACTGAAGATCTGACTGCTCAGTCATTAAAGGTACTATAGTAGCACAATAAAATTCATAAGAGTTAGGATGTTAACCTGAAACTCATAGCTAAATTATATTTTAGGCTTTCTGATAGATCCCCCTTGTTTTGTAGTGTGGCCAAGTGTAGAGAATCACATTAACCCCTTATATATAACCCGAATAAATAGTACTGGGCCAACTTCGCTTCTCTTAAAATTTTTAACCTCTGATTGGTCCATCACTGGCATGCCTATCACCTTCTTGTCCCTTATGAGCAGTAGCAGGGGAACTTTACTTGATTTGGTCAATCCCGTTTGGCCAGACTCCCTCTAGCGTTTTCATTACCCTACCTGGGGGCCGACATGGCAACAACCAAGGCTAATTCTTTTCAGAGCTTTCCTCTGTTCTCAATAACCTTTTTCATAACATGAAGACTCCCCATGAGACTAGAACCCTGCAGTCTCACTGCGAGACTGTACTAATCAAAAGTCTCCTTGCGAGACTCCGCTAACCAGTAGTCACACCACAAGACTCAGTACTGAATACAATAATATCCCCCCTGCGGAATGCTACTGAAATTGGCCCCTTCCGGGACTGATCTTTCACTCACTCAGATGTCTTCCTCTGAGACAGTTTAAGGGTTTAACCCAAAGGTGAGCATATAACCGCCTTCAACCCCTTGTACCCTTATGTAGGGAAAAATGGATTCTAAACAGGTGAAGCCAATCTACTATTAGACTTCTGCACATTTATATACTTAATTTTCTCACTTGTTTTGGAGTGTCTTGACTCCACCCCCTGGTGACATAACCTAGTTTTAACGCTCCAGATGTGGCTGCTCTCTTAAAGGCATGACCAATTTTCTAATTTTCTGTCTTTCTAAAGTTCCTCTTTGGTTATGCTTTGGTAGAGAGCTTTGAGATGGAAAGCCTTGTATAAATGCAAAAGTATAAGGAAAATACCATTTTTACATTTTTCTCAGTTACTGTAGTACAGTTATTTTTTATGCTTGATTTGCTTCACTCTTGTTTTTATTATGCATGGTGTGGTGAAAAGTAGGTTAGTTAATTAATCATGTACAGCAGTGAATTTTCTTACAGGATTTACATTGCAGCAGTTGAGTTTAAATGCCTTGCAGTCTTTGGTTGGGAAATGTGCATTTTCACTTCATACACTTTTTTGCACATGAATGTACCCAACAAATATTATTTTCTTTTCGTAGTATGAATTAACTAACTTAAATATATTCTGGAATTTTCTTCTGTCATTTGTGTTAGAAAGTACATTATAATATTTTTGTTCAGTGTTTTTACGCAGATATATGTTTTTATGTAAATTGAGAGCAAACTCTTGTTAATAATGGGGACATACCTAAGAGGCTTAAATCAATGCAGCAGAGTGTAGTGATGATGGTTTGTGTTTACTGGAACAATTAGAAGCTAGAAGATTAAATTGCGAGAGTACTTTTATGAGTACTAAGAATCCATCAAACACAACTTATTTGAGCACAGACACATGGAATTTAAGAATTCAACATTGATTTTCATTAATGCAGATAATAAAATGTGCAAAATAACCAATATAATAGTGATATAATGTATAATATATAATGTCTATAACAGGATTAAGGTATGATGACTATAACCAAGTTATTAGTCAACTTGTACTGTAAATGTTCATTGTTATATATACTGTAAACCCGCTCTAATGATAAGTAATGTTCAATTACTATATGGAATTAGTACTTCTCAAAGATATACTCATTTGGAACAAAAGGTTAATTCTTGAACATTACAATGTGAATATGTACATATATACTTTTGGACTTATGCACTAGCATAGGTTTAGTTCAGGTGAAGTTTGAAAATCTCAAGGGAGAAAGGATGCTGCATTCCAGTTCAGAGCTGTTGTCTTCTGAGTGTGTGTCAAGGATGTCCTGTAGTTCAAGAAGAGGAAAGTGGTAGTGTCGCACTAAGACTTTTCTAGAATGCATACACAAGAGAAGTCAGAGCTTGAGTTTGTTTGCAAGTCGAGTAATTCTGAAAGTATGCAAGTCCTTCGTTGTAGCAGCTACTCCATATATTCCATGATATTCAGAGGTGTTGAGAGAAGTCCATCTGTATTATTTCTTTGATCAGGCGAAATTACAATTGGGAGAACTTTTCATGGGCCATCTCCCAACAGCTCCAGCAGCTCAAGGTTGAGATTCTCAAATTTCTGTACAACAATTTTTAAAGTCCATAAATCACAACACCTGATTGGTCATGATATAATCAGGTGTAATTTTCATCCCCAGTAAGTTCTTCTTTGCTGGAATGTCTTAACTGTATCAGTAGGTTATTGACAGTGGTCTGCGGCTAGGGACCTTAATCCAGTCTTGAGTTGCAGGCAAGGAGGCACGAATGTAAGCAGTTCATCAATGAAAATGTCAATTGGACCCAATTTATGATGTCCCTGCATGTATCCAAAATCCAGTGTATCATTCATTTCTTACCAACATTCCTAAGAAAGTGGCTCACAGGAGCTAAGATGTGCCAGGTTCATTTTCAGTTTAAGGAAACAGAAAGATGATTTTGAAAATTCTAAGCACTTAATATAAGCATATGTAAGTCATAGCCTTGCTGCTACAAGAGAAAAGCAATGAAATAAAAAAAAGAAAATACAATTGAGAATTTAAATACAGTGGTACAAGATGATGTTAACAAGTGAATACTAATTAAGAAGTATAAAACGGCAATTATCTAGCCAATTAATTAAACATTTGAAAACACCCTTGGATACAAAGGTATCCAGATAGTTTCTGGTTATTTGGATAGTTTCTGGTCAATCAGAAGTGGCAAATTAAAATCAGTTGCACCTAAAAACAGAAGCCTATGGGAGGACGTTGTTTGCTTAATTTTTTATTTCTTCATATATCATTCAGTCACTAAAGCAGGTCTTCTGCATTGTTGTACATTTTCAATGAACGTTTCTATTCCTTTTTTTCTTTATAGCACCATGCCTCCCGGAGAATGTCGAAGCCGTGTTGAACTGTGATACCGATGTTTTATCAGTGAAGTGGAACGAGAGTGTTGGGTCTGACCTTTACACTGCACTGGCCATTGGCAGTGATGGTTTTCGTGCGTCGTGCAATACCACCGACACAAAGTGCAACATCACAGGCCTGGAGTGTGGTCAGACATATGGCATAGCTGTCACTACATCATCTGTCAAATGCAGCCTCATAAAAGGCTCTGATTATAAAATCCAATCAGGTACAAATATAACTATGCTACAATGCAATTACAATGTTTATGTAAAGTTATTTCAGAACACCTGACTATAATGATAGCCATTAAAATTTGGAAGCCATTATTGCACTCTGTTAATTATTCATTATTAACACTTTTAATTATTATTATACTATATCCTATATATATATATTTTAGGATAGGCATGCCAATCCTTCCCAAGTTATCACATATGTTATAATTTCAGTTTTGATTATGAAGTCTGTTGTATGTATTATATGATGTTATTTGGTTCCTATTTTGGCCCAATTACTTCATTGGTTCCATCTTGAGAACAGATTCTTACATGAAGCTAGTTAAAGTAAAAACCTGTATACAGTATGTCCCCGAAAAAAGCACCTGGACAAGCTGGAATTTATGCTTCATCTGCCTATTCTGATTTAGGAATAAATGCAAGTACTGACATCTTATGTCTTTGTTTCATGTCTGCAGCCCCTTGTCCCCCCAAAAATACATCTGCAAACCTCAACTGCAGCTCAAATATTGTCTCTGTGTCATGGGATAGGGGTAGAGCTACAGAGCTGTACAGTGTCACAGCAGAAGGAAGACTGGGAGAAATAGAAACCTGCAACACCAGTGGCACAAACTGTAGCTTCACTCATCTCAGGTGTGGTCAGAGATACAGCTTTAGTGTGGTGGGGATCACAAATCAATGTAGAAGTTTAATAGACTCAGCAATGGACCTTGCAACAGGTATGTCCCTCCTTTTATAATATACTGTAGACAAATTCAAGGTAAACTAAAATAAAAAATGAAAAAGAATACTCAGCAACTCATCAATTCTTAAATCGGATTTATTACAATCCTTATTAAGGTATATAATGAACCACACACTGAAGTTTATATTCACATAAAGTAAATTCAGAATATAAAATGTATGCAGTGCATATGCTCACAAATATATTTTAATTCTTGAAAAAGCAAATTTAATACTGATTTATTAATGAAATTACAGCCACAGTTTGCAAGGGTAATTCCTTGCAGTAAGATTTTCAGGGCAATCAGGGCAATAAGAATGCAGTGTCCTAGTTTTCTAAGTTAACTTGGATATAGCAAAATACATGCTTCTAAGTCACTGAAGCAACAAGTGCACTGATGTTAGTTAAATGAAAATTATATTCATGGGAACTTGATAGATGATGAATGCCTTGTATACCATGATCCATTTATGCACCTGCCTGGAGTTTTTTATACGTAAGTCTCAAAAGTCTTTTTTTTTCTTTAGTTCCTTGTGTCCCAACCAATTTAGACCCCAGACGAGATTGTGACACCAACATAGTTGCGATCACATGGGATGCTGCTGCTGGAGCCACCGGGTACATAGCTAAAGCAGAGAGCAACCAAGGACACAGAACATCCTGCAACAGTCCAGACACTCATTGTTCAATTAATGACATGAAGTGTGGTCAGGAGTACTCCATCGTGATTGTATCAATGGATGCCAACTGTGCTAGCCAGATAAGCACACCTGCTAAAGTTGCAACAGGTACAGTATTAACTACACATTTTTCCCCAGTTGTACTTTTTAACTTTTCTTTTCCAGAAGAAAGTTATGGGTCTATTTGTGGATTTCTGAATATACCTTTTGTGTGCTTACAGCTCCATGTCCGAATACTAATCTTCAAGCATCCATAGACTGTCCCACCAATGTGGCAGCAATTTCATGGACTCCAGGAAATGGCTCAGACTCCTATGAAGCATTGGCGGAGTGCTTTAGCATTGGACACAGGGCAGTCTGCAACACGACAGGCTCATCTTGCAACATCAGCACATTGCAGTGTGGGAAGAGATACACTGTGAGCGTCACTGGGGAGGGCAATGGGTGTAGAAGCCCCGTAGGTTCGTGGGTTGCGATCCACACCGGTAAGACTCAGATAAACATTAATGTACGTCCATAGTTACCTTACTCTGAGTATTTTCTACAGTCAGAAAGTTGTTTTCCCACAAAACTTCAGTGGTAAAATTTATACTGCACAATTTTGAGACATGCTCCTATTTTTATCAGTCCTAATGATTTTATAACAAACATAAGAAAGTTTGGAAATTAAACGTTATTCAGGCTCTTGTTTGATTTTTAGCGTCTAAGTGATCCAAAGAGGTCAGGCTATCTGGCTCGGTAGCTGCATACAATTCTCTCAACTCTGTGATTCCTTTTTCTATATATAGTTTATGTTCTTCCTAACTGCACATAACATTTTAGGCTTTGTATGTGTTGAATACTGTTTCAGTCTTACACACCCCGTGATACTCACAATACTTGAGCAGTCCCCATATCTACATAATTGTTTTCTAGCTATTTATCAGTTTTTAATAGAAATCCAAAAGGAATTTATGTCTATAAGATGGCTATACTTGCTGAAATCCCAGTCTTGTTCAGGTAATTTTGTATGATGCAGACAATATTTGTGTATGTATTAAAGGTATATTTTTGAAGTTCAATTCATAAGTCTAAATGATTAACAATGGAAATGCAGGGAGATAAAAGAGCAACAAAGTTGAATGTACTTCACGACATACAGCTCAAAATCCTTTTGTGGGTAATGGTCAGATTGAATACAAAGATGAGGCATAAACATATCAGTACAAAGATGAGATATGCAGTTTATAGATGAAACTGCCTCGTAAGATATTATAATACTACAAATATAAGCCCTGTTCATTGTGCAGACGTACATGTAGTGTGTTGGAGCTTGCCTGATCTTTCAATTGCATGGTTTTCCAGCCCCATGTGCACCCACGCAGCTGAGAGTCCAGTTTTCATGTGGCTCCGACACAGTGGCTCTGTCCTGGAAAGCGGCTGAGGGGGCTGGCATGTACATGGCTCTAGCAGAAGGGAAAAACGGAGAAAAGCGAACGTGCAACAGCAGCACCACAGCCTGTAACATAACCAGCTTGCAGTGTGGAAAGAAGTACAATGTGTCAGTTATTGCATTTAATGGAGGGTGCATTGGAGGCCAAAGTGAGATCTACACCATTAAAACTGGTAATATGTTCTAACATCATAATTACTCAGAAAAGGTTGTTGATATTTCTAGAAGGAAGCTGTAAGCAAATGTAGGCACCTGCTAGTACATTGCAAACTCTTCAAATGTACCTTGATCTTAGTATATCACTATAAATTGTATAATACAATTATCTTCCCCATAATGTTATTCATGAATTATTCTTTAGATGTTCATGAACAGCTTTTATAAGTGATTTGTGAATCAATATCCATGTGAACTTTAGACAGACATGTATTGCCTGTCCAGGATCATTCATGAATTAATCGTAAGTGTGTTCCAATTTTTTAACTTTATGAATAGTCTTAGAGGAGAATTAAGACAATGGGCCTGAACATGAAAAACATGTTTTTTTCCAAATGTGCTGCCCTCAGGTTTGAATGTTTTAACGCTCACATCTCCTTATTTTCAGCCCCCTGTGTTCCTAAAAATGTTGAAACTCACCTGCAGTGTGACTCTGGGACTCTTTCAATAACCTGGCAGGATAGTGATGGAGCAAAATATTATTACACAACAGCTGAAAGGAGTGACGGGGAAGTTTTGACATGTTACTCTAAAAATAAAACCAACTGTACAATCCCTTATTTACATTGTGGAGATACATATAACATCACTGTTACAGCTGCTGATGAGTCCTGCAACTCATCCCATAGCCAACCAAAGGCAATTACCACAGGTAATCCCAGGTGCTATGAAGGATTTGCGAATTAGCCTGTATTTCAAGCCTTTGAATTGGATAATAAATTCTATTTTCTGGAGGAAAAGCTGAACTCTTTTATTTTGTTACAGCACCATGCCCTCCATCAGCGATAACTCACCACTTAGACTGCAACTCAAACATAGTCTCCATTTCGTGGGACACCAGCATCCTGGGTGTAGAATACAGAGCAAAGGCGACAGAGGTTAATGGACACAGCTCTTCGTGTAACACATCGGATTCCAACTGTGCCATCACCGGTCTCCAGTGTGGAAAAGAGTATAATGTGACAGTTAGAGCAACTAACGATGGCTGCCTTGGCGCTCAAAGCTCAGGATATAGAATTAGAACAGGTAAGAATGAAATATTAAAAACTCATGTCCCTTTTATCTTGTGCTAAATTATGACTGTGTTTTGTGCATTATAAACTGCTTTGGTTTTAATTTTAAAGAATTGGTTAAAATAAATGATATACAGATTTGCACATATATACTGTACACACATTGTCCACATACTGTAGGCACATATTAACCAAGTTATATTATATTAAGTATATATATATATTGTTTCCAGTTCATTGCTGTTAATTATCCAATGATTTTCTTACTTTTTTTCTTGCACCGTCTCATGAGATTCCTTATAAAATATTTGGAAAGAAAAAATATTGAAAATCATTCCGTCAGTTTATGGAATTGTGTTTTTTTGTTTCTATAGCTCCATGCACTCCTCAGCTTACAGATGTTGAAATCGACTGCCTGTCAGACATTGCTTTGCTCACTTGGGGTCAGGTCGATGGAGCAATGACGTACATAGCAACTGGAAAAGACAAACATGACAGAATATTCCAGTGCAACTCCAGTGACACCAGCTGTTCGATCATGGGCTTTAACTGTGGGCAACAGTACTCCTTCAGCGTGACAGCATGGGATGATCTGTGCTCCAGTGAGCCTAGTAATGTTTTGGAATCTGAAACAGGTAAAGAAGTAAACTTAAAGAGGATCTGCAGTCCCCATTTCTCAGTCCGGTAATTAAACCTCGGTAACAAATTAAATTAATTGAGGGTATCCCAAAATTTTACAAACTAATTAAGTTTAAAATCGTGAACTTTGTGAAAGTACTCTATGGTTGCCATGTAGCTGAAGGCAAACTGCTGGTCTTGCCAGAGGTGAAAGCAAGTGTTTGCACAAATTGCAAGAGTTTCTGGTAAAAGCAACCCTTCCTGCTCACTAGTCGCTGTAAGCAAATGAGAAACATGGTCTCCTAACAACTTTAACTATTATATTTTAGTTAGGTTGCAAGTTGCTCTTTTTTTTTGCAATGCTTAAAAGTATCTAGAAAATGTTGTCGGGTATTTATCGGTTTCAAGAAAATAATAACTATTAATAAAGCAGCAAAATGAACTTGGTCTAAAGCATGTTTACAATGTAATAGGGCTGCGTTTATATCATTAAGAGTTTTGTTGCCTTGTTCGGAATGGCAGACAACGATGGCAATATGGCGCAACACATATTGAAACGTCCCCTCTTTTGTGATGTACAGTAAATTGGAGGTTGTACACGTTACTGTGTTTCATTGTGGTTTGAAATGTACTCATCATTGCCAATACATGATAACCCCAAAATATAAAATTGCGTTGCAGTTCCCCTTTCACCCCAACATTATCTCAGTGTCTCCTTCAGCAAAGCCCCTTATCCATGTTGAAATTCTTTTATTTCGTTTTTCTAGCACCATGCATGCCACAGGATGTGAGGACAGATCTGCCTTGTAACAGCAGCACTGTGAGTGTGTTCTGGGCTCCCAGCGTTGGAGCACTGACATACACGGCCACACTGGAAGGGAGAGATGGAAACACTATATGTTGCACCACCAATAGCACAACCTGTGAAATCTCAGATTTGCCCTGTGGAGAAATCTTCTTTGTGTCAGTCACAGCCGAGGGCCCTACTTGTAACAGTTCTCAAAGCACAAGTGTCATTTTGAAAACAGGTATGTTAGCAGTAGGAAAGTTAAACCTACATAGCACTGTACATTTAAGCTGTTCTTGGAGCTGGAAAACATTAATATAAATATATATTTATTAAAAAAGACTATTTATTTTTTAAAAAGATTTATTTTAAAAAATAAAAGGATTATAAATTTAATTTATATATCATCCCAGCTTGCAGTAACCAACTGTTATTAAATTTAGCTCTTACAACCTTTATATTAATGTAAATGGTTTGGTCCGGTTGTACTTTTTGTTTTAGAAACATTCCTTTTAGGCATTGTAGAACAGATGTGGTTCTCATTTTCCAGTTGTATTGGCAAGAAAAAAATAGCCTGGCTGTCCCAGACCTACCCAGCCAGTTGAACGCTACCATTTGGGTAAATCCCAGAAAATGGGGCATTTGACATTCGTCCACTCTTTATAACAAAGAATGCTACAGTATGTGACAGACATGAGTTAAATGTCTTGTTCTACATTGATGCCTATAGCCTCTGAATTATTTTGAAAGGAATTTAAAAATAATGTATTTAAGTTCTACAGAAATATTTATTTTTCTTTTCAGTGCCTTGTGTTCCACAGCACCTCAATGTCAGCCTGAACTGTGAAAACAACAAAGCAACACTGAGGTGGGATGAAAGTAAGGGAGCTCAGCTCTACACAGTAGAAGCAGCTGTAAAGAACGGTCACTCCACAACCTGCTCTTCAACAGAGAACAGCTGTGAATTTCTGGATCTGCGCTGCGGGCGCACCTACGCCATCTCAGTTATCGCCGAAGACATGGCTTGCGAAAGTGAGAAAAGCAAAGCCGTGAACATAAAAACAGGTAAAGTTCACAATCACAGAGGGAGGTAACTGATCCTTGTGCTTGTCAAACAACACTTTTAATTATATGTACTCACTTGCCACGCTGGTTCATAATCCTAGTGGAAACGACAAAGGTATTTGGTAACGGTATTTCAATTTTTTTCACAGTACCCTGCAATCCAGACAACATAGTGACCAAAGTGGACTGTGAGACAAATACTATTGCGGTCTCCTGGAATAAAAGTGATGGAGCAGAGTTCTATACTGTGACTGCAGAGGACGGTGATGGATGGTCTACACACTGCAATGGCTTTGATTCACAGTGCAACATGACAGGTCTCAGCTGTGGCAGGACATACTACACGACAGTGACAGCATCGGATGACAAGTGCAGCAGCCAGCCAACATCTTTTATCGAAGCCAGAACAGGTACTGTAGATGTGAAGAGTATGAAGTGATAAAGATTGTTAAATAATAATGTTTAGTTCTGTGGTTTTTACAATAGCTTTCAAATATTCAGCAAACCTTGGGACATTGCCAAGCTTGTGGGTTCTTACCTTCCTTACTGTGATAGCCTTTTCTTTTCAGTCTTTCCACGAGGAACAAATGGAATGATCCAATACCTGATGGTTCTTTACAGTGTTTCTGTGTTATTGGAATTGGACTTAATATAATGGATAGCAAGATGCAGTGTTTGAATGTTCCTGTGTTTTTCAGCACCCTGTCAGCCACGTGATATTGAGGCGTTTGTAGATTGTTACACTAAGACGGCCATATTATCCTGGAATTATGGCGCTGGGGCAATCGCTTACACTGCTAGTGCCCTGACAAATGATGGACTCGGTGCCTCCTGTAACACGAACAACACCAACTGTGAAATCTCAGACTTGCAGTGTGGTGAAGAGTACTTAGTGTCCGTTTTCGCTCAGGATGAGACCTGTAACAGTTCAGCAGTGCTAACAGACTACTTGAAAACTGGTGAGTAAGCTATCATAGTACTGTATGTTTCACTGCTATATCACACTCATACGTAACTACATACTATGGTAGAGTGTATATATATATATGAATTTGACATCTAATTGGAGGCATGGAGCTGCTGCTTTTAAAAAAGGAGCAGCTCCATGCCTGAATGGAAAGCTTTTTTTGCTTTCCATTCTTTTTTCATTGTATCACAACTCTTTTGAAAGTACTGTGAGAAGACAGTGATCACCATGCAAAGATATTCATCAAAATTAAAACTAGCTAAAGTCCCGAGTAAGATCATTCATGTTAACTAATCTAATAATTAGTAATCTTAAATAGTAACTAACAAAACAGGACAATATGCAGCCTGCAGTTATAATAGTACATCATCTGACTGATTTTCAGTCAAGGAAGGAAAACTAAATGTTTCCTTGTGCTTGCTTTTTATCTTTGTATTTGTTTTGTTTTGTTTTTTACACAGAGCCCTGTGTGCCCCAGAACATCAGTGTCAGGTACACTATGTCCATAGCGCAGCTAGTGTGGGACCCCTGCCGTGGTGCCCTCTCTTACACTGCAGAGGCACTGACCAGCCAGGGCCACCAGCTCACCTGTAACACAGATGACACCAACTGCGCCCTTGCGGGGTTTCTCTGCAGCCAGATCTACAACATCACTGTCACCGCACACAATGAAGCGTGCAATGACACTGTCACCTCCGAGATCCAACAGCTGGAAACTGGTGAGTGTTGTGTGCTCTCTGTCTGGAATAAATTTTTCAGCAAAGTAGTAATCCTGCAGTGGGTTGATATGGATGTTGAAGGGGCAATTGTACAGTGGAAGGGTAAAAAAAAGAGAATTTTCAGAAAGTAAATATCACTGGAGTTATGGAATATGTTACACAAAACGATCAATACATGCTTGCTAATGATGATATTTCTAAAATAATTTCCTCTTAGTTATTATTACTGACCTTTTTTAGTGTTTGTCCAAAGATTTTTTTCTACTTCAATGAGTTTTTAGATTACAGCTATGTTTCTCTTATCATTTTGTTGCATATTGCAGAGCACTGTCCTCCTTCGGCTGTGGTTGCCAGTGTGCACTGCCAGACAGGTGTGGTCTCAGCATCATGGGAAGAGAGTGATGGCGCAGAGATCTACATTGCCACATTTGACGGGAGGAATGGAGACTCGCAGACTTGCCAGTCCACAGGCACAACCTGCAATGTCAGCAATCTGCAGTGTGGAAGCATTTACTATGTCAGTGTCAAGGCACTCAGCACAAACAGGAACACTTCCCTTAGCACTGTCATCAATGTGGCTACAGGTAACTAGAAGAAGGAAAAGGCAGAATTAAAATACACTGAATTCATGCCAAATCATTGAGACTAAATGCATAACTTAGACTGGCAGCTTTTCTTTCTCTAACTAGCAAATGAAGAGTGATAGGCAGGAGTCTTAATAGGGATTCTCATCAGGTTAATTATTATTTTTTCACTACAGAACCATGTGTTCCGGACCACGTTGAAACAAATGTGGACTGTGGAACGAACACCGCATGGGTTTCTTGGATGTATACTTACGGAGCTGAATCTTACCTTGCGACTGCAGAAGGAGCTGATGGACATGTAGCATCATGTAACACTAACGACAACACTTGCAACATCACAGATTTAAACTGTGGGCAGATTTATAACCTTACCCTTACTGCCATCAACGAGCAGTGTCAGAACAAAACCCCTACAGTTTTTTCTTTTTCAACGCGTGAGTGGCAGATTAAAAACACTTACCTTGTTTTTGCAATGTTATATATACATAATTAACAGAGGCAAAATGGCCAAAGAGCTTCAGAAATGGGGAACCATGGTGCTAGGGGCAACCTGTAACACCACATAATTAACAGACCTCCAAAAAGTACATGTGGCAGAGAGGAAATGCTCCAGCATCATCAGTTTCTTATGATTGTATTCTCAAATGCAAGTTGGAAGTTCTCCAACATTTCCCCCAAATCCTAATTTCTAAGGTCCCCTCTTCAGACTTTAGTCTAGTTTTCAGGCAGTATCATTGGATTCTGAAATTATATTTTGCATTCCCAAAATGTGCAGATTTATTCGTGTTGCTGTCTTCCTAGTTTGCTCTTCATCTCAATATGTAATACTGTACATTTTTGTTAATGTGTTGGGAATAGCCACTTGACATATGCTTGTCTTAAAATGTTCTTGCAGGACCATGTGCCCCTCTGCGAGTCAATGCAGAGCTGGAATGTGGCAGTGACACTGCCTTAGTATTCTGGGAGGAAAGAGAAGGCATTGAGCTCTACTATGCCACAGCTACATCAAGCACAGGGCACACAGAAAGCTGCAACTCCACCAGCACATCCTGTAACATTGCTAACTTACAGTGTGGAGAAACCTACTACTTTACTGTCACTGCCAACACTGAGCAGTGTGAAAGTGAACTCAGCAGTACCATAGAAATTAAAGCAGGTAACAGTTTTCTTCCATTTTATTCTAGTGTTGGAGTCCATGTTATTAGCAAAGCTTTCATTTTCTGACAACAATTTCACCTACAACATGTAAAGAAGCAACATCCACATCCACACAACTACAGCACCTTAAAGGTTAAAAATCCAAAAATGTTTCAGAAGAAATGCTGTTTTACATTTTGGTAGATAAAAGAGAAAATTAAAAAAAAGAATTAACATTTTTTTAAAACTAAAAATAGAAAAAACTCAATTTTATTCTTTATTAAACAAAATGTGCACAACAGCAGACCTTTACACACAGCTGTTATGCAGTAACAAGAACAAGTTGGGCAGAGGTGACTTTTCAAAACATCAGTTATATTGTAGAAAATCACCACTAACACTCTACTTACACTTTTGTTAGGCATTTTCCAAAAAGCAAAGAGAACATTCTTAAACATTCTTAAATGCAGAAACCTTTCTTACTTTACTCATTCCTGTTCACAGCTCCATGTAGACCTGAGAATGTGTTTGCTCAAGGATCCTGCGACAGCGAAGATGTGACTGTGGCCTGGGACGAGAGCGAAGGGGCCCTATCCTATATTATCACAGTCACTGGAGACTTAGGTCTCATAACAGCTTTTAACACAACTGAAACTACCATTGAATTTGAACTGAACTGTGGACAAACCTACAACATCACTGTAGTTGGGCAAGATGACAGATGTGACAGTATTTCCAGCTTCCCTGCTGAATTTATATCAGGTTAGCAGCCAGTTGCAGGCCGTGATTTAATCATCACACTTTACTTCAACTGAAATTCAAAAGCCTTTCCGTAGACAGACCAGAACTCTTTTACATGCTAGAGGTAAACACACTCACACAAACACGTTTAATGCCAAATCCTGAAGGAAACAGCCTAGTTTTTCAAAGAGATGTTAATTTTTGTTGCATACATTAATACCTTTATAGAGTAGTTGTCCTTGGCTTTTTTAAAAAATGTCTGGTTGAGCCCTTTGATCAGTTTGACATCCTCTCATTGGTACCTTTCTTACAGCAGTTTCAAAAGTCTGTCTACTATATCCATAACTGGCCAACACAGTAATCGTGTTAACTTTTGTTTCTGGGATAAGAATTATTACACTCTAGGCTGTGCTCAGCTCCTTTAGAATCTAAAAACCTATTTTACTTTCCCATGCTTAATATTTGACCGTTTGTGACCGCCAAAAAAACACCTCTTTAGCATTTAAGGATTTAAGAAGAAGCATTGAACCTGTATTATAGTCAGATTATCTTGGCTATACCTTTGCTTTCTGCCAGCAGCTATATCACCCTGCAGCTCTCAACTGGTTACCCACTGAAGCTAAGCAGGGTTGACCCTGATCAGTACCTGGATGGGAAACGTTAGTGTTAGTGGGACCAGCAGGGGGTGCCTACCCCGTCTTCTGTGAGGGTCCTAATGCCCCACTATAGTGGTGGGGACACTATACTGTAGTGAGCGCTGTCTTTCAGATGAGATGTTAAACCGAGGTCCTGACTCTCAGTGGTCATTAAAGATCACTGGGCATTTCTCAAAAAAAGTAGGGAGTTATCCCAGTGTCCGGGCCAAATTCCCCCCCTCGGCCTTTAACGTGGACTCCAAATTGTCCCCATGTATGATTGGCTTTCACTTGCCCTGCAATGGACTGGCGCCCCATCCAGGGTGTACCCTGCCTTGTGCTCATTGCTTGCTGGGTAGGCTCTGGCTTCCCGCGACATTGTATGGTATAAAGCGGTTTGGCAAATGACATGACATGACTTACCTGTGCTTTCTTGCTGTGGCAAAACAAACATTCACAAAGCTTTCTTTGTGAATCCTGCATACACATGATTTTATCTTTCTTTATAGCTCCATGTGTTCCTCAGAATGTGGACAGCTACACACACTGTGAAACCAACAGGGGCTCAGTGAGCTGGACTGAAAGCGATGGAGCAGTTTTCTACACTGCCACTGCCCAGGGCCTAGATGGCCATACTCACGTGTGCAACACGACTGAAACCAGCTGCACCTGGGAAGACCTTCACTGTGGGGAGGTGTACACAATCTACATCATTGCAGAGAATTACATGTGTAACAGTTCTATGAGCAACACTACTGTAATATACACAGGTAGGCTTTTAAACAGATCTTTACACAGAAACTCTGCAGCATCATCATCGGTTTCAAAATTAATCGAGGGTTGTATTTTTCTTTTCAGAGGAACTTAACTTCCACGTGTGTCTGGTTTACTAAGCTCAAATCAAGTTGTACATTAAGGCAAATTTATTAAAAGGGTTTTCCAAATTCTTCCAGGAATAACCTTCTTCAACTACTTTCTATCTACTGTATCTGCAGCCCCCTGCGTTCCACAGAACCTTGTGCCAGAGCTCCACTGTGGCTATAACATTTCATCAGTGACCTGGGATGTGAGTGCAGGTGCCGAGATGTATGTGGTAACAGCACAGAGTGGAGATGGGCACAAAATAGAGATCAGCACCAATGACACATACTCTGATTTAAGACATCTCCTGTGTGGCGAAGTGTACACCATCACTGTAGTGGCTTACAGTTCAGAATGCAAAAGTGAGGAGAGCACACCTGCCGAATTGACAACAGGTACAGTATGATAATATTTCTGTGTGTGCATCATGCATTAATACAATTGAATGTTTTTATGTATACAGTTTTACATTTGTTCTGCAAAGAAGGGCCTTATTTGTGCTAAACCAATGGTGATAATTTAAACATATACTAAACCATACATTCCATGAAATGTCTTCGAAATCATCTCTGTGCTTGACATTTCTTTCCCTCCTATGTAGATCCTTGTATTCTAACTAGGGTCACAACTCAGCTAGACTGTTTGTCAAACAGTGCTGTGATTTCCTGGGACGAAGGCAGTGGAGCCCAGTATTACACAGCTGTAGCTGAAACAGGAGTTGGCCTGAAGCAGTCCTGCATATCTTACGGAAGATTTTGTACAATTAACAACCTACAGTGTGGACAGCTGTACTTTGTCTATGTGACTGCATCCAGTAATGGGTGTACCTCGGCCGAGAGTTTTCAAACTAATCTCCTCACAGGTAATGAACAGAATTAAACCAACAGTCATACTTTGAAAAGAAAATCTCCACTCGCTCTTTCTGTTTAGCAATCTGTGACCAAGGTGCAAAATGTAGCTTCTCATTTCTATTTTGCAGCCCCTTGCATTCCACAGAATGTGTCACTTCAGCTGGACTGTGTGGCTGACAGTGTCCTAGTCTCATGGGAGCACGCTGAAGACAAACTGTCTTTCAAGGCTTTGGCCCAGAACAACCAGGGCAACTCTTCCTCCTGTGAGACCCGTGGCACACAGAAGGAGTGCCTGCTGACCAACCTCATCTGTGGCTTGTTGTACAGTGTTCAGGTGGTAGCTTTCGACAATACCTGTTCGAGTCTTCCAAGTGAAATTGTTAACATTCAAACAGGTATGTTCTTATAATAGAGATGCTCAATTACATACTCTGTAGTAATAAAGGATACAGCTTTACTGATTAGTGTGTAGGAAATTCATTAAAAAAAAACAATGGGGATGGGGATAGTTCCCCTGTCACTATCCATAGAGTTTTCATGGCAAGATACAGCAGTAGATTGCCAGGCCTTTCTTCCACATTGATAGTGCTAGTGTTGTTGCCATGTCACAGAAACATGATCCTCCACCGCCAACACCACCCCACACTGCTGCTGCCCACTATGGGTTATTAGAGAAACTTACGTCTGACATGGGACACGAACCCACTACTGTGAGATTATGAGTCTCATGCTCTACCAACAGAGCTAGTCGGAGCTCCCAAAAAGACAATATCTTGTATTAATGTTTCTTTATATTTATGTATATGTATATTTTAGTTCTCCATTTTTTAGCCCTTATATTGTGATATTGTGGAGTCTCAAGCCAGGTACATAATGTTTCCTTTTCCAACTGCAATGGATTTTGCCTTATCAGTACTTTTTCCTGTCTCACATTCAGACTTTAGTCCTTCAGCTTCACATTCATCTTACACTAGAGAAAGACAACACAACCTGAAAAACAATGAACATATTGACATTATTTAACTAATTATTGTTGTTTTTTTCTTGTAACCATGCAGTCCCCTGTACACCTCAGATATCAGATGTCTACGTGGATTGTAACACTAATACTGCATTGATAGAGTGGTCTTATGCTGTCGGCGCAATATCATACACAGCAATAGCAGAATCTGGAGGAAGTGAGCTAGCCTTCTGTAATACAAGCCACACAAATTGTGAAATCCTAGATCTGGAGTGTGGGCGTCTCTATAGCTTGACATTGATAGCCTCCGATGAGCACTGCAACAGCTTGCAAAGTATAATCTGGGATTTTGAATCAGGTAACAATATTATCTTTGTTTTTATCTGTAAACAGAATTGTACGATAATAATATTTTAAATGTACAGCTCATTTTGAGGAAGAGTGAACTGCATGAAAATTCTGCTTTAAAAAAAGCTTACAAGTTATTGATGTCTGCATGTGTGCTTTGCTGTTTCAAATTAACATGACGTTTTTATGTGTTTTATCATAAATGCAGTCCCCTTGAAAATCTGCATCTCATGCAAGTGTTGGTGCCATATATATATATACTATTGTAACTAACAAATGCACTTTCATGTTTCAGTTCCCTGTGCCCCTCAGAATGTCATTTCTCACCTGGACTGTTACTCTAACTTTCTTTATGTGGAATGGGAGGCCAGTAGTGGAGCTGAATCTTACGAAGTATATGCTGTCAGCCTTCAAGGACATGTAGCTACCTGCAGCTCTACAGATGAGGCCTGTGAAATTACAAACCTCATGTGTGGAAACACATACAACATCAGTGTTGTAGCTATAAGTCAACACTGCAACATCTCAGAAAGTGCAATTACAGAAATCCAGTCAGGTAATTCTTTTTTAAAAAATGTCAGTGTTTGCTCAATCAATACAGCTCGCGAATGGGAAATTTTAAGGGAGTAGTGGTTAGGGCTTTGCATCCAAATTGGAAGTCTGGGTAGGGTAGGAAATGCTATTGTACCCTTAAAAATATCACACAGAAGAACACCAAGCTGTATAAATGGGTACAAATCAAAGTTGTTTTTTCGCTAAAACATAATAAGAACATTAAAAGGTTAAAGGAAGCCTAGGTATATGACTTGCTGCTAATGTCCCTTTGTATCTTTTTCCAGATACCTGTAATCCTTTTTGTAACAAAAAGCCTCCTGTTTTCTATTTTGAACTCACTTTGCCTTAGTTTCCATTTCCATTTGTATTTGTGTCTTCTAGTTCAGGTTTCATAGTGAAAGCCTCGTAGCTTCGTAATCTTTTCTCTTCAAGACTTAAAATATTTAATTCTTTGATCCCAATAATGTATCTGGTTGCTCTTTCCTAAACTGATCCCAGATAAGTGATATCGTGTTTTGTAATGTGCTGACCACAATTTGGTACATTTTACAATTTAGCATAAATAATGCTCTGTATGCCATTTTATAAGAGCATACGTCTGTCAGTCCAATCAAGTGCTAATTGGAAAAGATCAGATTACTAAGATATTAGATCTGTATATATGTGAAGGAACAAGTAAAGGTTTATTCCATGCTGAAAAGGGAAGAAAAGAAACACAACATTTCAGCTGTGGAGCCTTCTTCACACAAATCAAATAAATAATATAAAACAGCCTTCTTCATAAATGTGAAGAAGGCTCCATAGCCAAAATGTTTCTTTTCTTCCCTTTTCAGCGTGGAATAAACCTTTACTCTTTCCTTTGCAGCCTACGCATGCTGACGCAGCTACTGTACCTACTTGAATTTCTGTATATATGTGTTATGCTCTACTACATCAAAAAATTGTTTTACAAGAAATCTTACAGAAATCGTCTGTCTCAAAGCAATTTGAACTGTGTGAATGACAGGAGTAGGAAACAGTGGTTGACATTGTATACACTGTACAGTTATGTAACAGGATTTTAGTTCATTATGTTTGTGAACAAGAGAATAAAAAGTACACGTCAATTGCCAGCTGTCTCTGTAACATGACTCAGTGTACTGTATGCTCTTGCTTGCAGTGCCCTGTATTCCAGAAAATGTGGATGGCAGTGTTGACTGTGAGACAGGTGCAGTGTCCATGTCCTGGGAACACAGCGAAGGGGCGGTGTCATACACTGCCGTTGCTCTGGGCAGTGGGGGATACTCTGCCCAGTGTTACACCAGTGGCACCACGTGTCAGTTCACAGACTTGCTCTGCGGCCTCTCATACAGTCTGTCTGTTACTGCTTCACACGACACCTGCAGCAGTTCAGAAAGCCACACTGTGACTTTGAGTACAGGTATGGATTTAGATCCCAGGTAACAATGACGCACTGGTATCACCCTTTTTTTTTTAGGGAAATTGGTATATCTCGCATTACATTTTCTTAAAGTCTCATCAAATGAAACAGCTCAAAGTCTTCCTCACCCTATTGTTTTAGCAGAACACACAAAACTGTTTACTGTACCGCAACGTGATAAAAGCACAGGAAAGTGTGGAACAGGTGTGAGATGCTTTGATGGAAATCATTGCTGAAACCCCAAGAAAAGTTGAGCAAGACTTCAAAATCACTTTTCAGGATGACCATAGTAGTTCTCATTTTGTAGTGTGTGCTGCCAGTTACTTCTTTGCAGTTTTCATACTTCTTTGCTGCTGATGATCCAAGTCAACAATCGCTGTATGAAACTTTGCAACTTTGGTTTAGTTCAGAAATGTTGTTTATTTATGGTAAAGTTTTAGTTTTAGGAAATTAGAAACAATCCAGATTTCAATTTCCTAACAATTCTTTCCTTTAGTTCATGCTATTAACACAAATCCCTGTGCTCACAATCAAACTGATATGTGTTATTTTTCAGTTCCATGTGTGCCCCAGAATGTCACAGCACAGTTACAATGTGCCAACAACACTGGGTGGGTGTTCTGGGAACTGGGAGAAGCAGTAGTTTCCTATGAGGTTCTGGCTATTGGCCCTGACGGACACAGAACACAGTGTAATACAACTCTCAGTGGCTGTGAGCTGACTGACTTAAACTGTGGCCAGCTGTACAACCTGACAGTGACCAGCTTGGACGGAGTATGTGACAACATACATGCCTTCTCACATCTTCAAACAGGTGTATATGTGTGCTCTTGCAGTATTTTAATAATCTGTGCTTCATAGCTTAAATAGAATAGTAACTAAGACTAATTTGCAGTTTACAATCATTTCAAGGTTTCTACACATGGTTGACATAATATTGGGTAATGTAATTTTTTGCTTTGTGGAAATAAATGAGAACAAAATGAGAATAATATATATAAGCAATTTGTTGTATAATATTAATATATTACCATACATGTAAATGTAATTAATAAAAAGAAAGAATACTGCATGTACATTACTCTTAGGGACTGTTGTTAATATGTAGACCTTTGTGTTTCTGCATTGTAGCTCCTTGTGAACCAAAGAATGTCAGAAGTGCCTTGGAATGCAGCACCAACTCTGCCTCTGTGGCCTGGGATGAAGGCAACGATGCTGTCTCATACAGAGCTGTAGGCCACAGCAGTGATGGCCACACAGCGGTCTGTAATACAAGCTCAAACTTCTGTGATCTGCAAAACCTCCAATGTGGACAAAAATACAATGTGTCCGTCTTTGCGGTGGATGACGTCTGTGACAGTGTTCAAAGCAGGACTTCTGAAGTATCAACAGGTGAAAAAGCGCATTAACATATACAAATAGCTCTAATATGAAATATGTTCATCTTGAATTCAGACTACTATACCAGAGTAAAACTCACGAACACAAACCAAGACCACCATCACCCTCACCAAACAACACTACCTTTAATTGTTTTTGGAAAATATGAAATGCAATATCAGAATATGATGTGCTAGGATTATTAAGATAAAACTGGAGAGCAGGAGCAATTTGTTTTGTATCTAAGCTGATTGAGGGTCAAATAATAAATGCTGTCTTTCTGTTACTCAATGTGACATTTAATCTCTGGAGCACAGAGAAATGCAGCCAGAACAAGACTTAACTCCCACTTCAATATGTCTTTATTTGCAGCCCCATGTGCCCCACAAAATGTGGAAGTACACATTAAGTGTGATTCAGGGATATTGGTTGTAACCTGGGACTCCATGCTGGATATTACGTTCTACAGAGCTCAGGCTGTGGCTAAGGATGGGAATATCTTCTCATGTGAAACGACTGACACCAGCTGTTCTATGAAAGGCCTACTCTGTGGTCGCACTTATACTATTCAAGTCACAGCCTTCATAGATGGGTGCAGCAGTAAACCCAGTGATGCTGTAATGATTTCATCAGGTACTATTTTATAAGTGTAAATTTCTTATTTCAGAAAAGAGATACAAGATATTTCCAGATTTTGTCCAGTTAGCCTATAGTAATACACAATACAAGTGCCTTGAAAACTCACAAAATAGTGTTTTTAATAATATTTTATCCTATCCTAAGATGTACTTTCTTCTCCATTTTGAAAAACGTCTCCATTCTCCATTTAGACTGGTCTGTCACGTCATGTCACATCTGTCACGTCAGCTGGATATTCCACCTAAAAGATGTGGTTTTAGTCCTGTTTCAAAAACGACATTGCAATGTCCAGACACCAAAAGACTGTCCTATTGTATCTCTTACAGAGACCATATTGTATTTTTTAAATTAAAATAATTACATTTTTATTCAGAGGTAAACAGCTCTTACAGTAATAAGAACAAAAAAGTTTTTTTCAGTAAATTGCATTTGCTTTGTATGGGGGCTGTGAGTGCAGGCCTGCAAGAAGGTTTCATTTAGTCTTCATCTTGAGCTTGACTGAATGGGCTTTCAAAAACTGAGTTGTCTGTGTTCTTCAGCACCATGTCCCCCCAACAATGCGATTGGCAGTCTGGACTGTATGACCAACTCAGCGTGGGTTACCTGGGAGAACAGCAATGGGGCTCAGTCCTACACAGTGACTGCACTAGGTAGCGGGAACTACAACTCCACTTGTAAAACAGCCAGCACCACCTGCAATGTACCAAGTTTGCGCTGTGGGATCCTCTACACCTTCTTTGTTACTGCCTTGAACAAGAACTGTGAGAGTGCACAGAGCAACACCTTCCAGATTGCAACAGGTAATTGCATAACTATTGTACAAAACCAATAAAATGTGTATGTGATAAATATAATAAATATAAGGTATGTGGAGAAAAACTTTAAACGTGACAACTGACACATCCACAGAGTTTAAACTATGACTATTAAAATAGGTATCTAAATAATTCTGGACTATTTTTTATGAGAGTTGTTACAGACAACTAACTGGGTAACTGTGTCACACTTGATAGTGTGACAGTGTGTCCAGCAATGATTAACTGTACCTCACAGTTACCCTTTCTTCTTTCTGTCGGCATTCAATGCTGGACTGATACAGTATGGAATATGTGTGATTCAATACGTGAAATGGAAATTCATGACTGCATCAACAAAATTGTCGGTGCTTTGCTTATCTATCGATGTTTAGAAATTTCTGAGTCATTAATTCATGAGTTTCATTTCACTGATGTCCACTAGCACCCTGCGCTCTTACCACTGTCATGGCCGTGACCAAGTGCAACAGCAGTACGCTGCACGTAACGTGGGACAATACAGAGACCTCAGAGATGTACATTGCAACAGCCGAAGGCAGTGACAGGAGTCTGCTTTTCTGCAACAGCACAATGGCAGCCTGTGACCTGACTAATGCACACTGCGGCACCAGGTATACCGTTATTGTTGCAGCATCATCCGACAAATGCAGCAGTCTGAGGAGCCCTCCATACTATATCAGTACAGGTACGCTGGTGTTTGTACAGTGGTTTGCAAATCCCATCAAAACCAATGAAAGCTCTTGGCATTGGATTATACTCATTCAGAGGCGGAAAAATATTCAAGTCAGTTATTGTATGTGAATCATTTAAAGCCTATGCCTATTAGTTTTATTATGTGATTATTACGAAAGACTGCAGGTTCATAGTGACTAATTTATAATCCTCATTTTCTGCTAAACATTCAGTACATTGAAGTGTGCTGTCATACTAATTAAACTTGTCTGTATTAAAAGAGTGTAATATTCACTCACATTGTATTAGTTTTCATTAATGCTAGATTTGGGGAAAATTACAACTAGGTTCTGCTTCTCTCCAACTTTTTAGCTCCCTGTGCGCCACAGAATGTTGTTGCTCGCCCGAACTGTGATTCTCAAGGAGTCACGGTATCATGGAATAGCTCTTCTGGGGCACTGTCCTACCTGCTGACTGCCATAGGGAGAGATGGGGACCGACATTCCTGTAACACAACTCAGACCAACTGCCCCCTCACACAGCTGCACTGTGGCCAGCAATACTCTCTCTCAGTAAGAGCAGCAGACGCCACGTGTGCCAGCCCACCAAGTTCTATGGTTTCCTTTAACACAGGTAAAAACTACACTTAAACACACTCCAGACAGTTTTTTTTTTCCTATAACTCATCAGATTTTTAATATTGATGTCAACCTGTATTGCAGTGCCCTGCAAGCCAAATAACTTGTCTGTGAATATCCAGTGTGCTACAAAATCAGCTGTACTATCTTGGGACCGAACCAATGGTTCTGTGGGATACTTTGCCTCAGCCAGTGCTGTTGGTGGGCATAGCCTATTCTGTGAGACCCGAGAGCCTCCCTGCACTATTGAAGGACTGGAGTGTGGCGCTAATTACAGCTTTAAAGTGCTGTCTTCAGATGGCATCTGCAACAGCTCATACAGTGATCCTTTGGCGAGAGGAGCAGGTAACTATTCCTAATTTTGCATATGAAGACAAGATACAGTATATTATTATGTTGCCAGCTGACTACTTTGTATTGTATTAAGATTGCACTCCCTTCTTCTTCTGTTCTTTATTGGATAAGGTCGAATAAATGAACCAGAATTTACAGTTTGAATTAAAAAATCAAATATATGATTGTTCTGAAAGTTAAAGGGAAACTGCAACACTATGTTTTGGGGTTAGAAAGAATCAGCACTGATGACTGCATTTCAGACAAGTTAAATGTGCACAGTAACATGTCAAAGCTCCAATTTACATGACAAAATATACATTTCCAAATATGCACAGCGCAATAGTGCTGTCATTGTGTGCAATTAAGAACGAGGAATCAAAATGTTCAGTGATGTGAATCAGCTCTATTTCATTGTAAACAAGCAGGATTGTAAAAATACCCTATTTTAATCCAATAGAAATACTGCTCTCGACTTTGAGGTGGTTTTGCTGACAAATACTACTTGTTAACTCTGCATGCAAATCACATTGGACCATTTCTCTGGTGACATGTCTTATTTGTACTTATTTGCTCGTACATCACATTACAGGGACTGGTGAGCAGAAAGGGCCACTTCACATCACAATCCTCACTAACTCTAGATTTTTTGCATTATTCAGGATATGTAAAATTTTGCGATACCATCAATTAATTTATTTTGTTACCAAGATTTAATAACAGGTCAGAGAAATTGGGACTGCAGCTCCCCTTTAACTGTATATGATTTTGTATTCTGAAGATGAAAAGTGGATAGAAAGCATTGATGGAGAAAATAACTGTTCTTTGGTGTCATCCTCAGTTCCCTGCCCTCCGGCAATGGTCAGGACTAGATTGCTGCCCATGCACAATGGGATTCAAGAGGTGGAGGTGATGTGGCAAAAGGTGGACTGTGCTGAGGCGGAGTACAGAGTGGATTTGCTTGGGCAGATTCAGGATGACGAACTTGGATACATCCAGATAGACTCCTACTGGACAACTTTCCCCTACTTCTACATCCTTCTACCCTGTAGCTCCACCTACAATGTAACCCTAAGGGCCAGGAACTCAGCAGGAAAAAGCAATACTACCGACCCCATACTGAGACAGACAGGTACGTAGGATATGACTCTTTAATTAACAAGGGCAGGATTATATTTTTATCACACAACCAAGAGGTACCGATACCAGTTTGGAAAGTTGTTCTTCAGGTTGTTATTTGAACTTGTACCTTTCAGCATGCACTGGGCTTTATGCGTGTAAGCACGTTTTCTTTACATTGCATTTATGATTTGAAATGCCACAGTTAAAATATCTTTGTTCACCCATTTTGTCCATTTAGAAACTTTAAAAAAATCTTTATATCTTCCCAGATACTGTAAACACCATGATGTTTTATAGAGTAAAGAAAAAAAAATAAGCCATTTTTCAGTTTTGAAAACTGTTCTTTTGTTTGTGGGCAGATTTGTTTGACAGTTTCATTAATGCTTTGTTTTTCAGCTCCCTGTGCCCCAGCAGGTGCGACTTACAACGGGAATTTTACTTCAGCAGTCATTTCATGGAATGCTTCAGTTCACGCCACAGATTATAAAGTATACAGTGTTTCCAATGAGAGCAGAATAGAGCTCTGCAGAACAACACAACTGTCATGTACAGTGACTCACGTACAAAAGTCCACAATTGTAATCACTGCCATTAACTCTGCTGGAGAGAGTGAGCCGACTAGAGAAATTCAAGGTCAGCAGACATCTCTTTTTAATCACCTGTTAAACCTAAGTAAGATTTTACTTGGATGACGTCTCTAGAACAGCTGTTTGAGCTATGATGTTTACTAGTAAATCCCATTATGATTATTATACAGATATTTATGCACACTTTAATGTAAAGCATGTATCAAATATTTGTTGTAATATTTTTTCGTATGTTATGGAAATCAAATATTGATAGTTATCGCAATATGCCTAAATGGAAGAACTGGCGGCAATTGTATAGAATAATCAGTTCGGATACCATACCTAATATGACAACTTTAATATTTAAAACAGACTCCTCATTACATCGCACTAGAAGAGATCTGCGACAGACTGCAACAAATGAAGGTACTATTCATCACATTGAAGTCTACAGTGTGTTTTAAAGCAAATCTGTTGAAGTAGGTAAAGAATTGTATTACTTTTGGAAAATTTTGACTTTCAGACTCATATTTGGGTGAGTTAAAACAAAGCAAAAAAATAAGCTTTCAAAACTTTCAAATAACTTTGAAACTTGAGTGAAATCTCATGTGTATGATGGGACAAACAGCAGCAGCAGCAAGCAATTGCTTCAAAATCTGATTAAGCACTGCTCTTCCACTTCATTTCAATAATTTGCAAAAAGACCCATTATTGTATGTGATCAAATCAGATCATTATCCTGATTTGAACCTGCCTGAAATTTAGGCTGTTTCAAAACATTTTTTCCCTCTCCAGTATGTTTAATTTGGAAAAGGTACAAAGTTCTATTTTTTTAAGTCATCCTTAATAATTCTAACAAGATAATGGCAGATATACAATGGAGCAAAGATTTCAATCCGAGTCTCCTTTTATCTAGAGCTTTCGTTGCAGAATTCAAATTTCAGGTAACACAATATTGATTACTTTCCATGTGTTGTCCCTATACCCCTTACATGAAGGATATAAGCAATATCTGGATAAAATCAAATGTTTGATTATATTTGAGCCTTACACTCTAGAAGGCATATTAGAGCTTTTCCATCACTTAATAATGTCAAATGAGTACACTGGCTATGTAATCTAAGATTTGCTGTTTCCATTTCAGAGCCATTATTAACTCCTGATCTTCACATTGTTAATGTGACCAGAGACTCTCTGCATGTGGAATGGACTGCAGTTGAAGACTCTACTTACTATGTACTGATTGTCAAGGAAGACACAGAAACACATCCTTTCAAACCACTGGTGATGTCTGTCAATGGCACAGTCTCAATTGTTTCGGGCCTCCAGCCTTTGACAAGATACAGTGTAATAGTAGCAGCAAAGAACTCCAACAGGAGCAGCCAATATTCTGAAAAAGTTTTTGTAACAACAGGCATTTAAAACTTAGATTTCTAATCAAAATCATTTGACCTACTGGGAAAGACTCATCCCTATAGTGCAAAGTATACGTCTTGTAAAAACTATGTATCCTGATGTTTGAATTTCTTCTTCCAAGATATTTCTTACAACTAAAATATATTACCAAATATCTAGTTATTTTTTAATCACTGTACTACATTACAAGTTACAAATACCTGTTGATTTAAAGAAAACAGGTGATTTTTTATCAATCATTTCTAACATCCAGAACAAATGAAACAAAATTCCTATATAGTCCAGTGTTTTAAAGAGTGAACTGTTGATCATTATGAAATGTATTATACTTATGCTCAATATCCTATTTCATTCTTACAGAAAACCTGTACAGATCTGAACTTTACCCATAAGGTCCATTTATGTGTCCCTTATTCACAACCCAATTAGCAATATGAATCCAGAAATATTCTTTTGATTGAATTGTAATAATTAGATATGCATTACTGGACATTTTAGATTTTGAATTACTTCCTACATGAACTTAACACAAAATGTACTTCTGTATCAACTATATACATTTTGCTTTATAATTCTTTTAAATGTTTCTTAATCACAAACGTTTTAAACAGTTTATCTAGTTATAGTTCAATAAAAATAGTATAATGGTAATTTATCAAATATTATAAGAGTATTTTTTATCCTATTAACTGTCTAATTTTGTGAACTATTTCATTATAGTCATGTTTTTATACTAATGCCTTTCAATGAATGAATTCTGAAAAAAGATTTTTTGTATCATTCCTGTTTCTATTAACGCACACCCAATAAGTTGCATGTCCCAGTAACAATTACAAGCTAACAGAAGGTATTACAGACAGCATACCGGTGTTCTTCCAACGATATTAAGGGTGCACAACGGTTCACTGCAGGGCCTGAAAGAAAGGGACAATTTATAACAGCTGATCAAACTTAGCCTGACTTTTATCTGGTAAATAAACCCACATGAAGCAGGCAAACTATTCACTCAGTCAACCAAAACCATAATGAAACCGTGGGACTGCGAGATATCATCCTTAACCAAACTGTCTGTTGCTTTTCCCATTTCACAGGAATGATAAAATGAAAAAGTGGTCTACTTGCATCAGCTGTACATTTCCATTGGTCCTGTTTTGTTAGACCCTAAACATATGTGACATGCTTGAAATCTTTTAATAAAAGTATTTTATTGGAAAAAATTGCAAGAAAGCAATTAACGAAACACAGCACAATTTTAGGCAATTCAATGCCTTATACAAATTTATCACTGCGGTTGCTCCATAGGAATTAAAACATTCTTAGAATTTATATACAGAATAATTTTGGAACATTTCAGGAAAAAAAAAGTTTAAAAAAATTAAAACCTTTGTATCACAACTCAAGTACGGGGCTACAATGGTCAAAGAAAATGATACAAAGGCACTTCCCTACAGTAACAAATCTATATATGCAACCTTGAAGAATAAAGGGGGAATTTCAGATGTATTCTTATGCGATTTTGGCAAAAGACATACATTTTCTTTGAACAAGCAAATAAAAATAAATCGGGGGAAAAAAAACAATTTAACTGGACTCGGCTCTGCTCCCCTGTAGCTTCTCCACTCGCTCTGGGCTTTGGCTTCTCCTCCGTTCGTGTTTACTAGAATGGTCCTTCCCATCAGTGTGCTCTTTCCGGTGAGAGCGCTCTTTGCTCCTGCTACGCTTGTGTGACCTTTCTTTGCTGTGGCTTCGATCTCTTTTCTTTGACTTTTCATCACTATCTGTCTTTCCCCTGCTACCACTTCTGCTACGTTTGTTTAATCTTTCCGTTCTGTGTTTGCTAGACCTCTCCTTGCTTTTACTGCAGCTGCGCCTGCTGCCGCGGTTCTTACTGCGGCTTCTACTTCTGTGCTTTCGCTCCCTACTTTTGCTCCTGCTGTGCTTTTTGTTTTTCCGGTCATCCCTGTGCTTCTTCTCGTCTCTTTCTTCCTTATGTTTTTTTTCTTCGATGTCTCCCTTGCTTCTCTTGTCTTTCGCCTTTTCTGCATCTCTAGATCTTTCCCTCTCCCTTTCGCGTTCCTTCTCAAGATCCCGGTCTTTCTTCCTGCTTCGTTCATTCTCTTTTTCCCTCTCCTTTTCTTTGTCTTTCCGGTCGTTCTTTCGGTCCCGACTCCAGCTGCGGCTCCGTCGTCTTTCCTTACTCCTGCTTCGTCTGCGTTCTGCTGCTCTATCCGGGCTTCGGGAGCGCCTGCGGTCCCTTTCTCCCCTGTCGCGGTCCTTGACCTCTCTCTCTTTTCTCTGACGTTCCCGCTCCCTCTCCAGCTCCCAGTCAAAGCTGGTTGATCCGTGTCCATCACGGTGGTGACTTCGACTTCTCGACCTTTTGGGAGATCTGCGAGGGCTGGGAGATCTCCTCGGAGTCCTGAAGTGAAATCGGAAAGAACCGTTTAAAAATACATATTTTTTTCCCAATACGGAATCGACAACAATTCCGGTTATACCCATCCAATTTGGAAAAGCCTATAAGATTATTCACATCTTGGCTTGCGCCAAGCTATGTGTCTGGTACAGGGGGGAGAATAAAGAAGTGTAGAATGCACCACTGAACCTGCTCCCTTTTTGAGCCTCTTTCATCACTTAAAAACCTAAATGGCTCTGTATCAGACTTAGGTTCACAATGCCACAGGGGGTCGATGAGAGTGTCCCAGCCAAGTTATCCTACACTCAGCCAATTGTGTGGCGCCACTTATGGAAGCCCAGTCACAGTCGGCTAGTAACATGATCAAACTTCTGAAGATAGAGCTTACTCTGTGCTAAGGAGTTCCTTGAGGAACTGGGAAGCACCAGCACAGCATTAATTTTAACATGTTTTGTATTCATTTAGTTATTTATTTAGTTATGTCTTGAATTTCAGTGTGTATTTAAGACATTTACCTGCAGTATGTTTACAGCTGAGAACAAAATACAGTTCGACAAAAACAAACAGGAAACTGTGTACCATAGCTACATTTTGATCCTTCATTTACTTCACATATACTTCTGCTCAACCTTGAGAAAACTTGATTAAAACAGCAGTGCTGGTGAAATTAGAGTTCTGAAAAAACCCCACAAACCACTAACCTTGAGCGTCTGCGATCTGCGTGTCGGTCAGATTCTTCAGCTTCCTCCTTTCCATCTTTTTTCAGAACTTTCCTTGGTCTGCTTTTAAGCTGCTGATCTATCAGCTTTTGAACTGGGACTGGAATTCGTGGAAACAATGTTGAAAACCATTCAAGCTTTGTTAGGAAAGAGCGCAGCATTTCCCCAATCGTCATAACACATCCTCCACCTGCTTTCACGTCAAGCTCCTGAAAAAGAGAATGTCACCCATGGGGTCAATTATATGCTTGCGCATAACAAATACAATTTAACTCCTGGTTCAGAAACGATTTACAAAAAGCATCAAAACAAACCAAAAAGGGTACACCACGTAATAAACAAATACAGACTTAAGCTCCACAGCTTTGCGATTTATAGAAGAAGCACTGGATGTTAAACATTGTGATGTACAGTGATTCATGTTCACTTTACAGAGAACTATTAATGCACTGTCTTCCTTCCGTTAACAGTTACCAATTTCTGTAGATTTTGTGATGTCAAAAAATACCAATGTTCACCTCTGTTTTCATCAAGCTTAATCAGTTAAGGCAATCATACTGCTGTACTAGACTGTCTTCAAATCTAAATAGAATTTAAAGCTGTACATAAACTGTAACAAATATCTAGTCTAGAAGTGTCTTCCTCACCAAGACTGTGTTTACACCATAGGCTTCTTTTGTTTAAAAAAAAAACTAGTTAAATGAATAAGGATTACAGGCACAATAGCAAACCAACTGCCATGAAGCAGTGAGGCACAACTGAAAAAACATTACCCAATGACCATTGTGTTTAAAAAGGGTCATTACCGCAATATCTCCTCCTTGCTATGTCATCTCACAGTTCAGGACATGTTAGTCAGCTATTGTCAGGACCAAACCTACAGTGCAAGCACATAGGAAGAGGAATATTTAAACCAGCTACATAGAAAACAAGGCTAAATGTAAAACAGCCGCTTGCACTCACACACACAAACCAACAGTGTTGAGATACAATTTCCAATTCACCTGCTGCACAAGGGAGATCTAAAGAAGAAAACATGGACGTTAGCCAATTGGCAGGAAGTTAAAGTCTCATTTAAACAGTTAATATTAAAAAAACCTACGAAGAAATGACTTACAGACTGCCAGATAATTATTAAACGTCCAACTTGCTGCAGACTAAATTATTTAAGAGGGAAAACAAACTGTTTTGCCTTCATCTAGTTTTGACTTCAAACACATTTTCAATACATTAAGTAGCCAGAAGAAAGGAGCCAAGTGCTCTTAACAAATGATTCTCTTATAAATGTTCTTTATGAAGCTTGCTTTGGTTATACTTACCGTGATATGGTATCACCCATTAACTATTACAAAGTCAGAAATTGTTGAGGAAAAAGTAAAATTAAGCCAAATGAAGGCAAAGGTGAAAATCAGCCTTACCCATCACAAAGCGAAGGATGAATTTAAAAAAAAACTATGCAATCAATATCAAGACTATAATCTGAATGAAAATGAATACCAAATACTTGTAAGAAAAGAATTATTACCCTTGTCGACATACCTCCTCATCATCAAGGAATGAATCAAACCAATCCATAAGGTCTGCCGGAGGTTGTGTGTACCTTTTTAAAGGGAAAAATCCAAATGATACTTTTCACAACAAAATATACCGCAGCAATGCCATTTTAAAAGCACACAACAGATCCAGCAAATTGCACTCTTTTAAATGCTTTTAAAATCCTTGCAGAATTTGTGGCACATAATAGCCTTTTGGGATCTTAAGGCAAAGATATCCTTTGCAAATTGCAAAACAAATAATTTTACAAACATTTTACAAAAAGCGCTGTCTTTAGACCCATCTTAAACAAGTGTTGTAAGTGTTTTATTTGGTGATTAAGGGAAATATTTAAGATTACTTGCTTGCATTTACATAAAACACTTATCCCCGTCACCAAAATAATGCACCGTCAAATTTAAGTTGACATTTCAATTCCAATTCACAAAAGGAGCGAGCACATACCTTATATACATAAAGCCAAGGGCTCTGATGTATGGAGAATCCGTGTGGGTGATGAGACCCATAACTTGCTTGCGGGTTAATTTAAGTGTAAACAGTTTATACAGCAAACAAAAAGCCGTGGAAACGATGCCTCCAGTTCCAACCCCTCGAACCTGGGGAAAAAAAAAACCCAGGAAACTTAGCAGAAGGCTACAGTTTGCTTTTAAAGAAACATCCAAGCAGGACTGTGCCTCACCAAACTGGCAACACAAACTGCGCATCCCTGAACAGCAGGACTTACTGAGCCAGAAGTGGATTATTTTACAGGCTACTCTTCTGAAAAAAAAAAGTCAGAGAAATTCAAAAGGCACGTACTTCTACTTACCCCTCCGCACATGCCAGTCTGGCCTGCAGTCTTCCGGCTGCCTTTCTCCCACGGTTCTATGTGTGTCACCTAACGCAAACACAAAACAAGTCCTTACTGAGCTGCACCACCTCTTGCACATTACACACACGCCCTCTCGTACTGTACCGGTGTGATGATCATCTGTACTGCTGACTGTAAAATCATCACTTACCAAAAATACAGGACAAGGCACTTGTTTTTAACTGGGCTCAAATGGCCTAAGGATCTATTATCATTCTCCTAAACGAAATACCCTGTTCAGTATTTATCAAACTCATGATTTATTTTCAAAATCATGATGCCTTTTATCATTGGGTATATATGAATTTAGGAGCCACCTTGTCCATTTACATATTTATCCTGATGTTAAACAGGTATCTAACAAACTTTTTTTTTTAATCAAATGATAAAATGAACAAACAACCTCACAAACCACATGCACTTTTTTTTTACATTTCAGAAATAGTTTAATGGTTGTCGTCTAGGAAGAGGGTATATTTGTGCTATGAGGATTTTCCCTTCTTGGCCTATCAGCACGGAGAGGCTAGGTCAACTCATCTTGTTACACCACTGGAGGAATGAATCGGTATACATATAAATCGATCAAAGGGAACTTATTTCAGCAATAAGTCTAAACACCATATTCACATAACTATCAAAATGGTATACGAAAAAGATAAAATCATTTCCATAAATTAAAGAAATGTTCACTGAAGCCCCATATTCAAGTATAGCCCAGCATCAGCCGCACTGTATCTAATTTAACAGTGCTCTTTTGTTATTCTGATAACAAAAACAATGTTTTACACTCACAAATTCGCGTGTACAGTTATTAAGCACCCCCATAAGAGAGTGCATATCCGACTTCAGAGTGCTTTCGATTGCGACCCTGAGCAAATCAACAGCATGATAAGAGTGCATTGTAGCCCATTTGTCAAGTAGATGGCGGTCGACTAACAATCGGTTCTTCATAATAATCTTATTAACGACATCAATGTTGGGCACAAGCAGAATTATCACCACCACCATCTCAAGTGCAAGACGCAATGAAGCACAACACTCCTCTTAGGACACCAAAAAAAAAAAGTCCCTTACCTTGAAGTAGATCTCGTCCACGACCTCGTGGTAGGTCTTTAGCTCGTACAGTTGCACTTTGAAATACGGAGACGAAAGCACGTTTGTTAGGATCATGGGGTTCAAATTCATCGTTTTCTCGTTGCCCCACAGAGGCAAAACATTGCCCTGCTTTCCCGAAGCAGCCGGTTTGTTCACGGCCTGCTGCTGAGGCTGCGGATTCCCGGCTACCAACGCCGTGTTGTTGGCCATATTGTGGCTCTCTTCCACGGACGGGTTTTTTAATTCAAGGAAACGAGAGTTGTTTCTCAATAAAACCCCATTAAAAATCGTAAAAACAAGCACTTAGACGTTACAGATATTAAACACTTAATACAATACAATTAAAATAGAACGGCTACGTCTACAACACAAGCTTCGTCTTTTTTTCCACAACCAGAACCTTTCTGAAGGTACAGCAACCAGTCAAACAAGATGGCCGTAACTGCCGGGAAAGAAGCGGAAAAACGTCGTGACGAAATCACGCAAGAAACCCAAACCCAATGAGATCAGAGGACAAGGATTTAAAGATTCCTTTTTTTTTTGTCAAAGTTAGGAAACTGTAGAGCTGCGTACTCCATGGTGGTTTCTGTTGTTGGCTATGTACATTATATATATTCCCTGTATGTTTGAGCCGTAATGGCGGCAGTTTCATAAATGTTTGTAGATTTAAGCGCACTGTCGTCGAAGTTGTGAGGTTTGGCCACAAAAAGTTTAGGTGCAAGTTTAAGTATTGGAGAATCACATTTCTGTTGACTGTGACTGAATGATTTAACGGTCTTTGGAGATGTATTGTAAAAAAACAAACCGTTTCTTTTACATCCGTTTAATTTCAGTAAAAAAGTTTCTCTCTGCGTAGTTATTCATACCGATTCGATCCGTTCATTCATTATGGACCCGGTGAAATTCTGTCCTCCACTTCATATACAGAGGTACCAGTTTGTGATCGATTTTGTGGAAAAACACAAGCCTAAAAAGGTAGTCTTATCATTTTGCAAGACGGTCTGATTTGGGATCGAGCAATTTGAATAACGTAAGATAATGTGGATATTTTAAACAGCCATTAGAGCTTGCGACTTAAGAAATGTTTTTTAAAATGATCTGTTTTGTATTGAAATACATTAAAAGACGTCAACCCGTAACAAAATGGATAGTGGTGCCAATAAGCATTTGATGAGTGTCTATTGCTTTTCAATGTACGGTATTTCCTTGAATCTAGTTACATATCCTGGATCAATTCAAATCGAACTTCCATAGTGCTGTTTTAATAATTAAATGGAGTGATATGAATAATATTTAGTTATTTGTGCCTAAACACATCCGGGAAAAAAATCTTTATTGAGTTGACGAAGATGGTTTGACTCGAAATGCAGGATCTGTGAAGCAAAAACGGGTTTGAAATGTGATGGCATGCATGATAGTCTTCTGTTTATAGGATTGGAAGGTGCTGCGTTTCTGATGATTGACAGTTAAGGAAAAGGTAATGGGTGCGTTTTAACACGAACAGGTCATTACTTATTTTCAAACATGTACTATTTAGTAAGAAGGGAGAAGTATAACGCCAATATTTTTTTTTAAAATAAGAAAGTTGAACTTATTGTTCTTTTTTTATTCGCAGGTGGCAGACCTGGGGTGTGCCGGCTGTGGTCTTTTGAGAAAGCTCAAATTTTGTCGTGACATAGAATTGTTAGCTGGAGTTGATATTGATTGTGCTGCCATCACAGAAAAAAAGTAAGCAAAAACTGTCTTCTGTCACTGAAACCAGTCAAGGACAAATTATATCCTTGTATCCTTGGAACACAGCTGTGTTTTAACAAATTAAATGATCCATTTCAGGTGGTTACTCTTTGTTGTTAAGATTTTTTATTGCTCGTTTTCTTACCAGTTTCCTGTGTTTTAAGAACTGTGGAGAATATTTGTTTTTGCATTTCACAGGTATACGTTAGCCCCTCTGTCTTGTGAATATTTGAAACCCGACAACCGACCTCTAACTATACAGCTCTACCAAGGGTCTGTTATCGAAAAGGAGCCCCGCATGAAAGGGTTTGAGCTAGTGACATGCATAGAGCTGTAAGTGTATCGATTTGTTTTTATTTTTCATTTTGCTTATTGTTCTGTTTTCCTGAATGCATAGCTGTGATTTAGTTTTTTCAAGCTTCTATGCTCAGTTGTAGATTTGTATGCTTTCGTTGATCTTCAAGACATTGGTCGAGCATTGGAAAATACAATGATGCAAAGAGTAGGAAATTAATTTAGCATCTCATCAGTTATTGCTGTTATGGTTACTGAGTTATTGTTGTTACTGATTCCCATTTGGCTTCACAGAACTTTGTTCTCAATTGTCTTATCTGGTTGAATACAGAAATATTATGTAAACCTTGTATTTTGAGATAAAGCACTATTAAATACTTGTTACACAACTTTTGCTAACCAAAACCGAGCTTTTTATTTTACTTATTATGGCTTTTTACTTATTTCTTTTTTTCTTGTCATTTGTAAATACCAATATGCAGTGGGTCTGTGAGGACCAAACTGAACTATCTTAGTTTGTTCACTGGCCTGGGGATTTTTAAGGCCAAGATCTGGTTCTACTGGTGCAGTTTTTAATACGATCCCCTTTATTCTTTTTACTTTATAGGATTGAGCACCTGCATCCCGAAGAAGTAGAGAAGTTTTCTGAGGTGTTGTTTGGTTACATGTCCCCAGGAGCAGTAATTGTTAGTACCCCTAATGCAGACTTCAATCCCCTGCTGCCAGGACTCACTGGGTTTAGACACCAGGATCATAAATTTGAATGGACCCAAAAGGAGTTTCAGAACTGGTAAGTCATGTTTAGCCCTGTTTTTTAAGATTAAATATCTTGAAATTAACATTTTGAAAATAATAGGAGTCGGATATAAAGCAAATGTCTTTATTATTATCCGAATAAAACCTGGTACCTTCAATAACCTTGAGAACTCAGGTCCTTCGTTGAATATGGCATTGCTTCAGTGCTTCTAAAACTACTGTTTGTAATCCATTTGCTGTAAACACTGTATCCAATGAAATGACTGAAGAGATGTATATAATTCTCTCTTTTAATTAGACACTAAATTAGACACTTTTTTTTCCAGGGCTTTGGCTGTTTGTGATTTGTATGGTTACAAGGTAGAGTTCACAGGAGTTGGAATCACACCACGCAACACCAAGAATGTAGGCTTTTGTACACAGATTGGGGTTTTCAACAGGAAGTCTTCAAGAAGGAATGGACTACAGAGAACTGAAACTGATGAAGGCAGTCATTCTTATAAACTAGTAAGGAAACATTTACTGTAAAACATCCTATTTTACAAATAAAGCAGCTTGATAATGATTTTGTATTTGTTATATAGAGTAACAATACTGTGGTAGTTTAGTTATTCACAATTATTATGCATACTTTGTCTAATAACATCTTTCTTCCACAATAAAAACAATAATTATATTGGACAACAGTGATCATGAAAAGTATTAGTTATTGACAGACTTGACAGACAAAGTGATATTTAGCACCATGCATTTCTGTAGGTATTCAGTTTGTAAGAAGAGGTTAGAAAGATAATACTTTGAGGAAAGAGTGAGACAGCACAAGGGGAAGAGAGACATATATAAATAATCAACTTTCTCGTTTTTCAGCTCTATGATGTGGTGTATCCCAGTCTATGTGATAGGAACATTTTCCAGAACGTCCTCCTTAATGAAGTTCTTTACCATGCAGAAAGCATTAAGAAAAATTTCCTGGATACTCTCAAGGAAGAGGAATCTAAACTTATTCATGTCACCAGTAATCCACTACATTCCTGCAGCACCAAGGAACAGGCCGTTATTGATGGAGGTGGAGATAATGACGTTTGTCGGAAGGGAAATACCATTTACATTCCTCTTGCAAAACTCTTCTCTTCCCCTAAAGTACAAGCAGTGTGCAGCTCTTTTAAGCGCTTGAAGGAGGTGCTTTTGGAGAGTTCCCAAATTCAACTGACAAGTGATGCTTCAGCTTTGATGTTGGTAGTTGAGGATGAAGATAGGTCTGATCAGGAGGACTGGGAAGAATGCGAGGATATAAGCTATAGTGAAACTTTCATATCAGTGGCTGAGTGTGAGGAGGACTGGGAGGAAGAACTCTGTCAAAACTTGGAAAGTATTTGCCACCCAATTCCATCCCCCTCTTCAAGCAATAACAACTTCCATTGATGTAGTGAAGAGAATAATGACATGTGGGAACAAACATACCATTGTTTTCACCAGTTGGCATAGGATTGAAACTTAGTGGGAAGTTAGTTATTGGTTAATCTCTCATACTTCTGAAGCCAAGCAGATATTTTCTCTGGATTTGAGTGGAGATTCCTAGTATTCTGAGCATTTAGTTCACTTAATTTCTGTAAGTGCATATTTTGTCTGCAAAAAACATTTTGTGTCTTTGGCCTAACCAGCATTTTTTTTTCAGTTTTGAAAAGATGGCAGTATTCATGTTCAACAAAGACTAAGAAGCAGTAAGCTCTTCAACATCTGTTTTAATTGCATGTATTTGATGATTATATCAAAAACTCTGTTGTAAGTTAAGGAATTGTCTTTTAACACTACAAAACTAGCAGTTGTAGCTTATGATATAGGCTGTTATTGTGTAATTAAATCTGTTCAGTGCATTAAGTCAACGATTGTACGTATCAATTAATATATCTTGGAGGATATAATCTTCAACTCTGCTGATGTGGTGTTTTTTCAAACTAATAAACATGGTGATTTTTTTAAAGATGGTGATTAGGTAATAGATTCTCCTAAACATCATGTGGGATGTTATATATTATTTAAATATTTATTTTTATGTTTTACTTTACATTTTAATACAAGATATTTTGAATTTGTCTCTGGAAAGGGAGCAAGAGCATAGTTTTATGAAAAGTATGTCAGCATTTTGTTACAATTAAGGGGTTAAAAGAAGAAAGGCTTTTGTCATAATGTAGTGTATTCACTCTAGTCTAGCGTACCTAGGATGAACAGGCCGTGAAGCCTCAGATCTAGAATATAAAGAGTGTGTCTGTGTAATGGAGGCTGACACGTGAAGAATAGTACCTTAGTATCTCTGACATGTTAACAGGTCTGAGAAGATATGCTTTGCTAAAATAAACAGTAGATGGATTTGTGTAGGTCCTTTCACTCTGGTCTTTTCATTCCCAGATCAAGACTCACACCTGCTTTCATTCACAGTTGTGGACTAAGATTCAGTGTGGGGTGGGCCACAGTCCTTTTATGCTATTGTTTCCATTCTGGGTCAAACATAAAAGAGGAAGTAGGAGTAGTGAAAGTAATACGGCAAGGCACCATATGCAATAGCAAAGTTCTGTCAGACAGCATTTGAAAAGTGACCACTTTTGTGTCTGCTGACATTTTTAGGTTAAACTTTAACTTAGGGGATGTGTATATTGTTTGTGAAGAAAATACAACAATGTTTAAACTAATAGAAATACCATTAATCCGTCTCAAATCGTGCTTGGACAGTGCCTTTATCATATGTAAATGGGAGCCTTTAAGTGTGTCCAAAGGAGGTTTTAATCTGCACAGATTAATGCAAGAAGGTACATTTCAAAACTGTTAATGACAGCGATGTAACCCAGCAGTTTAGTTTAGCGCAAGTTACACAGTCTTCTTATTGGCCTATACTGCGAGGCTCAGCATTACAGAATTTCTAAACTCACTGGGTAAGTCAAGGAATGGTCAGAAGATCCCAACCCATGACAAAGAGGTCTTCATTTTTTAAAAGAAAGAAAATACAACTTAATCACTTGTAAATAGCTTTTTTTAATTAACAATACATATTACATGTGCAAGTATATGTATTGGGAATGAAGCAAAGGTTAGATTTCTCTTTAAAAAGACACTTGTGACTTTGTGGATACTAAGCTTTGCTGGATCATTATACCTGGCTTCACTTTACAGTTACAAACATTATACAATTCTATAAAATTAAAGATTCACAGAAAAACACACTCATGTTGAATTATCACAATATATTTAGTACCTATAAGTGGAACACAAAATAGTTTAATAGTCATTTAAATGTGAAGTTCATTCTCCTGTTAGAAAAATTGTGTTCCAGAAGTCACTTCACTTTTTTCAAAAACAATGAAGTTATACAATAATATAACCTATGTGGAGTGACTTATATTGAAGAGCATAGACCACTGGATTTAAAGCTGTTGTAGGATTGTAGCATTGGCCTGGTAACAGCCTTTTGCAAGCTTAATGCAAGGTTATGGTACAAAAAAAAAAAGTCCTTCTATACAGCTTTACTTCAAGATGATTACATGCTGGAATTGTAAAATGTCTGTACTGCATTTATGAACGAGGGGATGTTGAACAATTCTGTAGTTTTAAAGCTCAAAATAATAATGCCTGTTCATCAATATACGTATTTCAGAGTCCCACTCAGGCAAGAAAATCGTTAGGACATTGTGCTCCATTCAGAGAAGAGGCTCCACAATTGTGGAGCAGTGTGCTCTTAATATTTGCAGTTGAAAGCCAAGTGTTAATGGCTTGGGCATCTCAAAAGGCAGTGTAAGATGCTGGTAAAATTATACTTTAGCTAGAACAAAGTGCCAAGACACTTAGATTATATAATCATATTCAATTGCATTGTGACCATTTGAGAGCCAGTTGTTGAAACTGGAATTACAAAAGATAAACTTCCAATACAAGATACATAAAAGTGATTGCATTTTAAAAAGGTTTAAAAAATGACTTTTGTAAATCATGGTTCTTGGTGGGCAAAAAAAGCATTACTAACAGAAGATTGCAAGAATTGGCATTGATATGTAAGGACCTTTCCACAAATTAATCTTGACATTGCATGAAATGTTGTGTCTGCTATATGGAGCACAGTAGAGGCTGAGTATTAGGTCAGTCTGGGGGGGGTAGAGAGACAGTGTACACAAACCATGTGAAACATGTGGGCAGGCTCTTAAACTATGAATTATATCAAAGATGTTTTAAATCTTTTTTTCTTGCCTCACACTGACATGGGTTCATTTTATGTTTGGTTTTTCAGGTTATGATGAAAAAATTCAGACGTCTCTAAACTTAACCCAGCGTTTCTCCAAGATGCAGAAATTACCTCTGGACCAGTTTGGGAAAGCACCTCCATTAACTTGTGGTCAGATCAGTCTCAAAAGCATTAGCTTCATGTTGAAAATAAATGATAAATGAAATAATTTAAAGCTAGAACACTTGAGAATATGTCTAGTAATATTTCAATAGGCTTCTGATTAATACATGCTAATTTTAAAAATGTAGTGCAAATCACTCTTTGGTGCAGAGACATTCATCTATTGAACCTTTGGTGTGCTACACTGTAGGTTTAAATGATCCCACTACTCTTACAACAAACTCAATATTTAAAAGAATCATAAAAAAAATCAGTAGTAGTACAACAAACATTCCAAAAGTAAACATTGATAGGTTGGAGTACCTAACTTAGATTTTTTATATTTTTTCAAGTTTGATTAATACCACATTACTGAAATAGTTTTGCCACACAAGAGAGACACCCCAGTAAGCACATATATAATAAAATATTGCAGGCTACAATAAAGAAGTAACCTTTCAAAAATATTTAATAATAGTGATGAAAAAAAGCCTAAATGATCAGTTTAGGAATCTAATTCATGCAAAAGTGTTTCATTACAAAGAACAGTTGTTCTTGGGACCCCTAATTCACTGAATTATTTTATTTAGAGAAGGTTACTGGTTTTAGACTCTTTCTCACACAAAATGTGGGTATGTAGTAGCACATGACACTAAACCCCACAAACTAGACTTTTCATAAGGGATTAGGGAACTTGGAGTACTATTTTTTAAATCAGAAAACTGAATCTAAATACTAACTTTAAAAGGTCAGTCTAGCAGCCTTACAAGGTTTCTACTTATGAAATGGAATTGCCGGTGTTTGTAATCCCTTTAGTCAGTTGTATTTTTACTACAACAGCAAAAAAAGTTAATACCACCAATAACACAACACTGTGCTTAGCAGTCAGAGAGAATTTAATGTCAGTTGTGAAGTCTCTTTTCAAAAAACTGAATGCCTTTTAACCTAGTAAACGATTTAGCAGCACAGGGAGGACCAACAAAAAATGGAATTAAAGGAAACTGAATTAGTAAAAAAATAAATCAAAATAAAAAAATATTTTATAAAATCATTTGAAATGGAGGGGTTAACGGAGCATAGATATCGTCTCTTCCAGCTTAATACAGTATAGGACTTTAGCCTGGTGCTTCATACCTCATGTTAGCCAAATACTGAAACTGAACCACATTTCTTGGCATTTGGTGGAATTTCAGTGATCTTTGCAAAGTCTTTGCTTTTCTGAGCACCATTACTGTAGTTGGAAACAAGTAATATGCTTTCTGCATCACATTCTTGCTATACACAGTACTGTAATTTGTCTCTCCTACGCTACTTCTTCAAGGAATTAACAGCAGAGGGCGCCATTTCCATTGCCTTTTTATGCAGTCCCTGACGATCTCTTGTTGCATGTTTTTAAGAAATTTGCAGTTGGAATGAAGTGAGCTACAACAATGCTGTTGCTGCCACCCCCTTTTTTGGTTCCGTTTTAGATCTGCCATTCATCTGCCAGGACACCCCTTCTTCTAGCGCTTAATCACCACCTGCTCATACGCCCCAGCTCCAACCCTGAAATAACAGATGAAATGCGTCACAGCACAAACACACCATTTTCTATTCATAATTAAACATACTTTATTTCAGACTGTGAATTTATGTTTAGATTCTGCAAACCTTTTGAGAACCTATTGATAATAATAATAATAACTATTATCATAATAAAGCACTCAAAATGCTTTACAGGTAATGGAGACGGACTCTTCTATCACCATCAACATGTAGCCCCCCCCCGGATGATATGATGACAGCCAACATCCACCCATATGCTCATCACACATCACTTAACAGGGGGAGGAGGACAGAGCGATGAAGCAAATTTCCCCCTGGCCTTACCAATCATGGTAAATTTTGCCAGAACGCCCTGTGATTTTTTATGGGAAAAAAAGCAAGGACCTTGGTTTTCACATCTCATCCAAGGGAGTGTGCCTTTTTACAGTGTAGTGTCCCCATCACAACACTGGGGCATTAAGGCCCACAAAGACCGCAGGGTGAGCCATCCCTACTGGTCCCGCAAAACCTCTTCCAGCAGTAACCTTAGCTTTCCCAGGAGCTCTCCCATCCTGTTACTGGCCACACCTGTACACAATTATTCTGGTGTGTTTGGGTTTTTTTTACATACAAGGTGTTAATTAAGCTGTTAAATAAAAAAAAAACTACCAATTAGCCTAGAGTAATATTGGCGATCTGAATTCGTCTTAAACAACACACCTGGTGGGGAGATGATGGGTGCCAAGTGCAGTGCTTCCACCTGGACCAACAAATAACCGCAATCCTTCTTCTGAAATCCCAAAACAGGTTAAAAAAAATCAAAATATTGAACATCAAACATACATTGCAAAAGCCAGTACTTGTCATTCTGAGGCAAACTCTGGTTGCTAAGCAACCTAAAAATAAGTAGGTATTGACATATGTCTTCTTTTCCCAATACTCTGCAGAGAAGGATGTTTAATCTTTAATGATAGATCATGTCCATTATTTGAATGATGTAAAACACTCACCCCCCTTTTAAATAATCTCAAATGACAGTCTCCCATACAAAGTAAAAGGCAACAAACTAAGTTTTCATAAAGCAGAAACCTCATAATAAATGCACATTTCAGCAATCTTTCAAACAGGCTGATAAAATGTGATCTGAGCTATTGAAAACAAAGAAATGGAATTAAGAAAATCTCATTTCCAAACTGCGATTAAGTCTCTTCCTGCTAATTAAAAGGGAAAAAAAATTTCAAACCTTGATTCTGCAATCCGCAGTTTCACTTGCAGTTCCAACCTATATACAATCCCACATTAACCTAACTATTGTTCATTATTTTGTCCCATATATGAACAAATTATTTTTTTCTTTTTTAATGCATTTATAGTCAGTCACTCTTGAGATACCTTCTGTGCTGGAGTCCAATAAGCTGTGCGTGAAATCCTGACTCTGGAGAATCTTTTCCACAATGTCATCGGCATCTACTCTTGTGGCATCAACCCTCTTCAGCTGAGACTCCACTGAATCCTGCTTCATAGGATGCCTGTGCAAACATGGTAAAAATTGGCAGATCATGAAGTGGTTCACATATTGGGGTGATTTTGTTCCTGATGCCTCTCTGGCACTTAAGATGAAGCTTGAGTGTTTTTTTAGTAGTACTTTTTTAGACAATAGATTGTAGTTTATTAAGGAGATTGGGGTTAAAATATTCATAAATGTCAAAACTGTAAAAATTGGGAGTGAAACCTTCCCAGAAACCTCTTGGAGGTGTGTCATTTGAGTTCTTTAAAAAGGATGCCCCCGATAAGATTGCCATGAGTCTAGGTTCTCCTTAAAATCAATATCTGACACTACTGTAAGTCAACCAAAAACCGGAACACATTTATAAGTGAGGTACTGAAATGTATTTTTCCCTAGAAGACTGAAACATATTTTAATCTGGTTTATTCAGGTTAAACAACAGAGCCTGTTTTGTGGACATGAGTAAGATTTGTGATTCCGAGAGTCGCGTCTTGCGTCGCAGCGCAGTGTCGCTGGTTACCTGCTGAGGCGCTCTGAAGAGGACGCGCTCTTGACAGGGGTGAGGTGCTCTGGCATGGCTGCACAGGCTGCAGCACAGTGCCCCGTCCTGGGATCCCGGTCGTCGCTGGGCTCAGGAATGCTCGCAATCCCAGTTGAAGTGCTGCCCACCGAGGTGTTCCTCCTGTGCGAGAGCTCCGAGAGACTGGAGGAGCGCGAGTGCCCCGTGCTATACCCTGCGGCATCACAAAAAAACAAAACGGGCACAGCTGAGCTTAGATCAGAACCCACCACAACAAAAGGAGCCATTTGCTTAATTTACCAAAACTATCAAAATGCTGGGCAAAGAAGCTGTAAACGGCAAAATACAAAACACGAATCTTCAATTTATTTTAGTTTGCATGACCTCATCTTAAACTATAGCCTTCTGTCACTTTAATAATGTTTATAACCTTGTCATATAATACAACACATCTTATTATTAACAGTTTTAATAAACTCTGCCTCTCGTCCAATACATTTTTCCACTATATGGTCTCCTTTATGCTCAGGATTTTAAACTTGGTTCAACAGAGCACATTTTATTTCCCGTTTTGAAGATGCTACATAGTCTGCCGATGCCTGAATCTAATCTTATATCATCCAAGAGGCTAAAACTGGAGGATGTGACTTTTTTTTTATTTCTTCTACGCCCTTAATCTTTGATCAATGGCCTAAATGTATGGAAATAAATACCAACATTTCCCATGAGTATGATACTATCCACATCTATTGAACATTCCATCTGTATTCCCTAGGACTAAGAGGAGATGGTGCACTGACAAATGTCTAATTGTAAAAAGCTGTAAGTTCTTGCTGCTAAATTTCCAACTACATTTTCCATTTTCAAAAAGATGGACAGTAGAAAGTCTACATATTTGGGTCCATTACATACAAGATATATGCTGATTCACGTAAGGATAAATAAAATTGGGCTTTACTCAAAGTTAATCTGTATTTCTCATATTCCCAATAGTCCACTGCTCTGTGTCATGGCAATAAATTTGGTATTAACACCATAGGTAAGGATAAGCCTACAGGAAGCAATTTCAAAGCACTTGCAGAGTTTTAGAGAAGCAGTAAAAATTCAAAGCAAAGGTTTTTTCAAAAATACATTCAGAAAACAAAAGCCACAGTGATGGTAAGGAAGAATCACAAAAATCAGGGAAACACATTGATATCGCAGTACAGGGATTTAATTATTTAGTCTGCCTTTGACACATAACACAGACACTGGGGCTTTTTGTAATATTTAAGTGCTCTACCCCACAATCTTTGAAAATGTTCCCCAAATGTAAAATCTCACCACAATTACTCAAAGTATGATGGTAACAAAGCTTATGATCTGTTAATATCCATACCTGATACTTTAGACTGCTGACTAGCATAGCTTGAAGTTCTGGAGTGACCCCACATCCCCAGTTCATCAGGAACAGAGGCACACTTTCCTGGGATCTCTGTTAGGTTTGTAAAATAAAAGCCTGTAATTAGCTATTTTTGACATACAGTACTTCTGCTCTGTGTTTAGGAGCAAAATAGTCTCACACTCAATCATGTGTCTAGTTTTAATTGAGTATAATTAAGAAGAAGCAGAGAGAAAGGATGAATGGAGATCTGAAGACATAATTTCACAAATTGCCCCAGAACATGGCACAACACAGGAAAAAGGAAATACTGAATACGTAAAACAGAATGCAAAGTTAAAGTTAGCACATAGGCAGCAAAAACATCACAAACTATTGTCAGTGGCAGAAAAGTTACTTCCTGCTACTATGTTTGATAATGTTTGGGGAGATCGAGGGTGGTGATTTACAGTGCAAAGCAGCTTGTGTGTTTAAAATCTGACATATTATTGGTTTTGTTAACTTATGGAAACAACGAGCTGCCAGGATTTTCCTCTTAAAGTGTTATGTGGCTTTCCATGATCCTTGTGAATGGTGTGAATAATGTCAGATTGCAGTAGCTGAAGAGAAATTATGAGATCTGAAAAGAGTCATAAACCTGGAAAGGCTGTCAATTTAATTCACTTAAGAGGCTCTCGAGAAACATTCTAGATACAGCAAGTACAGAGTGAACAACAAAGTTGAATTCTTCTTATCTCAAAATAGGACATTCATCATGTTTTGAAACTTACTTTGCAAATTGTTCCAAAAATACACCTACCAGTTAAATATATAAAGCTTATCTTGATAAAAAGAAATCTGCACATCATAACTGGACTTTTGTTGTGAATTTAAAAGCATATTAAATTTTTGCAGTTCAAAGAACATCTTAATGACATCTAAATGAATGTACCGGAAATACTCAGGTATGGTTTTTGCGTATCTCCTCCTTTTCTGTCTTCATGTAGAAATTCTGTCTCTCCTTGTATGCTGATGTATGTTGCTGTAGACGGAGGCCTGTAAATGAAAATTATTTTGTGTTTAATGAGAAGGAAATATCACAAAGTCATTTAAAATAGCTTGAAAATGACAAACCTGTAACTAAAGAAAAGAAAAAAAATACTGACAGAATTAGTCAAAACAATATCTCAATACACTTAAAGTAACAATAAAGAAAACACTACAGAGAAGACATCAATTAAAAAATACACTTCAACAAAAACATTTCAGCCTGAAAAATAAACAGATAACACAAAAATACATGAGATATACAGTAGCTTGTCTGATGTCATAGGAGAGAGAGTTCCAGTAACCAGTCTCTCATACTACTGCTCTGTGACACAAAAAGTATTTATCTCTATTTTACAGCACAAGCTGATCTGATACAATGGTATAAGTGTTACGGAATACTTTAGAGATAGGCAGCTTTGCTTATTGTTTTAGAGTTTTCACTGACAAAGAATAAAGCACATATTCTTTACGAAAGACTACAAAAGTAAATATATAGCTTTTCAAATTATGGCAACAGGTCAAGTCTGCAACACCTGCAATTCTTAGCTATACAGAAATATGGTTCTGTTGTTTCCTATTGTAGCCTTAGTGGGCAGTATGTAACAGGAAAGTATAAAATAATTAGTAGTGTATTTAATTGTATCCATATACCGCTTTTCACACCAGAGCCTTTTACATTTAGAAGGGAACCCACTTCAACCACCATTGAGGACCCTACTAGGTGCCGTGTGCCAGCATCTTTACTACCCTTCAGTTCAATTAGTGAAGTGAGAAAAATGCTTCACCAATTAAATTTGACATTTGTTAAATTTATCCAAGATGAATATCTACAGTTGTGGGAAGTTCCAAGGGATCTTTTAATGATCAAGTAGCTAGTCCTTCAGGTTAATGACTCATCCAAAAGACAGCACCACCAAACTACACTTGGTATGAAGCGCAGAAAACATAAAAATAAAAAAAGAACATGTAGACGGAAGAAACAGTTTTCAATAAATTTAGTTCATAAATACTAAAAAGTTACTATGTAACTTTAGGTCATACAAAATATAGCTCAAGAAAAGGTTTCTGGGTTATGGCAAGTCATGTTACAGAGAACAGCTTCTATTAAAAGCTACTTAAATTAGGAGCAGTACATTCCATTTCAAAATCCAGCTCTTAATCCAGCTTTAGGAAATATAACCTGAGTAAAGCTGTTTTACATAAATACCTTAAGATGCCTGTATCAAAAATGTATTTAATCTAGACTGCTAGATCTCAATGCATTTAAACATGGTAGTTCTCTTTCTGTAATTGTCACATATATCGTGTCTCACAATCAAAATAACTACTATACTAGAATGCTGCAGAATTTATGTCAGTAATCACTAATGTCAGTAATATAAACAATGAAACAATTAACAGGGCTTAAAGGATTATATAATTCCCGTGTCACTGCTTACAATACAATCTTAAGCCAAAATGGATTTGTCACATTCTTATGGGGTCACAAAGCCAAACACCATAAGTTTCATTAGGCCACCATCAAATAAACAAAATGAAATCCTTAAAGGTGTTTCCCCATACACAGTTCTCATTTGTTTCTTGGTACTGTATATTTGGATTGTCCTGGAAAACTTAACATTTTCTTTTAAAGCCAGGATGGTTCTCACTTTTTACTTGCCAGGTCTTGAATAAATCTACATCACTGAATCCTGAAACAAACCTCAAACAAACCATCAGAAGCAGCACTTCTGATGGGACAGAATGACTTAAAATGACTAAAATATTTATCTATGGCAAGTTAAGACAGACGCTAGAACATTAGCAACTGTTTTTGTGGGAATACTGTGACTTTCTTCTTTGGGGTTAAATGTTGTGTTTTTATGGTTTAGTTATTCATGAAACCAAGGGAGAACTCTTGAGACACACTTCCCAGGCTCTTGGCAGTAGGAGACGTAGTAGTAAAGTTTTCATAATATTTAAAGAATCTTTTGACTGTAGAGGAATCAATCTGTGAAGGCTACTTCATTCGAGGCAGAAAGATTCTCCTTTTTTTGTCAGACGCTAGTAAAACTGGTTGACTCAACAAGCCATCTTAACCTAAGATCTAAAACTCTTGGAATTTGTAATACTAAAAATCAGGTACAAAAACACAATGTCATTTTTTCTACACAATATCAGGAGACAAATCGCGTCAAACATTGTTGTGTAAATTGTTACATTTGGAGAGAATCCCACTCCAAAATTAAAAGCAGGCTTTCCCCAAACCTAAGATCTTCTCGAGTAATTTTATATTTCATCAGTAGATTTTCAAACAGATGAGTAAGAAACACACAGTATCCTCTGTGATCCTGCTTTTCCCGATGACAGGTTGTTTTCTTTAGGCTCACTCACACGCACACAGCAGTGTTGCCAAAACTCCAGTAAATAGACTGAAAAATGTAGCTGCAAAGACTCAATTTTTCAGTAAAGCTCAGTTGCTAAGCAGTGTTCCAAATGAAAAGAAAAGTCCACCCATTAAAATTTGATGAAATGACACAGATTCTACTCCAAGTTATGTTCAAAGAGCTAGTACAAAAAAAACATTCAGAAATTGTTTTTCAAAACTTTCCACATTCACTTGCATTATTATAACAAATTTTGATCTCCAGTTCCTTTCTCTGGTTTTCAGAAATTGTTTGCTTTTCCTCTGGCAAAACCCCAATTTGCTCTTCAGGATGAATTCTGAATTGTACAGAAGGATCTTATCTGCTCAGATCCAACCAAATGCTTCAAAACTCATTGGATGGTGCTTCACCTTGCAGCAGGACAATGACCCCAAACATACTGCTAAAGGAACTATGGAGTTTTTCAGGGCCCAAAAGTAGAATGTTTTTGACTGGCCAACTCAATCACCCAACCCGAATCCCACTGAGCATGCATTCACTTAATGAAGACAAGACTGAAAGCAAAAAGCAAAAATGGACTGCACTCTATGTAGTAGTAATAATCTTGAAGACAGTTTTAAAACTGGAATGATTTTAGAAGCAATGGTACTTAGATGACAGATTTCCCCTTACAGACAAGTCATAACTCACTTAAGAAATATTCCCATAAAACATGCAAAATGGTATTAAGGATGCAAAAAGGGAACAAAACATGAAGATGTTTCCATGATGTAACCAAGGATGAATTTTCCTTGGTTAAATATGCACCTGACATTGGAGTGGAAGGTTCTCTCAGGCTGTGATATCTTAAATTATAAAAAAAGTCCGATTACAAGTAACCACTAGAACATTCCGCCAGGAAGCCATGACGGACCTTAAGAGCTCCGAGACCTACACGTACGAACCTGTCAAGCCTCAGAGCTACACTCACAAAAACAACTGTAGTCAATGACTACAGTGCATGAGAACAGGCAGCTTAGCCTGCAGACAATTGAAATTCTCACGGTATACTCTACCTCAAAGCAGATTTGGCAGTTAAGAAGGATTTTCATATCAAGTACAAATTTAAATAGCAACCTTCTGCCTTCTGGTGTTTTAGCATTTTATCTAGTGAGCTACAACACATGTGACTGCCAAGAATTTTTGCTTCTGGAATGCATCAGTAATTGCTAGTTCAATTCCTAAGCTTACTCTCAAATGGATGGGCGCAAGCACAACTCTTGAATAATTACTAATATATACATGTATTCCAGTTAATAATAATTCATAAACAGCTTTACAGCATCAGAAAATATCACCTTGATTGTCACCAGCACAATGTGGCATGTTTCTAAATTAATTTCTGAATAGTTGCAGTATCCATTTTCAGTTATTAGGGTCACATTATCTCATAGACAACAATAGAATAACTTATACTCTGAATCTGCATTGATGGGAAGTCAGAAAATCTTATACATTTTTTATTTCACCTTCAGAGTAAAGAAGCATTTAGTGCGCTTTGACAAGTTCTTCCACGGTGTATCACTTTCAGTGTGAAAATTAAGTTTTTCCTTCGATCCTGTTCTAAGGTTGTTCTTTCCTAAAGTGGGTAGTATTTAGAAATCCTACCCCAACTCAGGTCATTTACAAGTCATTAAATTCTATAAATAAATCATTATTCTTAAAACAGCTTTTTTTTCCCAATTCAGGGCCCCTTTTTGTATTCTGTAGAAATGTTTACTACAGCAATATCATATTAACAATATTAACAAAATTATAACAAATTATTAATTAAATTAACAAATAGCTTAATAATTGTACCTTTCAACAATTATTATTTTGTAAATTGCAAATGTAGAATTGCACGACAAGGTTTTTATATAGACAAAGGATCCCAAAGCACTTTACATATCCCACTCATCCACCACTAAAGTGCAGAACCCATTTGGATTATATGTAGCAGCCAAATTGTACAGCAGATCACGTATAGAAGTGAGAAATTGCTTTACCAATTGAATTAAGGTTTGTTAGACTCTCTGACTGCACCATGACACTTTCTTAAAATGCATTTTCAACGATGCAAGGCTTCAGGAAGTCTGCTTTGAGAAGCAGCCTTTTGAAAAGAAAACCTTTCTGGCCACCCGATGAACGGAAATAATCTACTCCACTGACTTCCTCTCAAACAATCTCATTTTAAGTGTGTTGACACTTTCTGTTGCAGTATTACACAAATTTGCTAAACAGCTAAACTAAAATCTGAATCCTACATCTAAATGAACCAAGGATGGTATTTTCAAAGTTTTCTACAGTACTGCTGTATTTGAATTGAAGCACTGAAGGTTTTAAACCTCAAGTGCTTACAGTATACTGCCTTACTTTATACCAATCAATCTGAAATTGATTTAAAAATTGATTAATGATAATGTAATAAAAAAATCAATGAAAAGTGTTACATCAAGAAAAGGGATGGGAGAGTTCATTATGTCTATTTTGACAAGCAGGTGCATAAGCATGAGAAGGAACAGTAATCCTTTGTAAACTAGACCTGGGCTAGGGAAGACAATTAACCATCTGTAAATATTTAGCCACGCAAACACACAGATTTCTTACGTTTTAAAGCAGGGGTCTCCAGACATGAGCTGTGTGCTTATAACCACCTAAAACATTGAAAAGAAATAAAGGAAAGAGAATAAGCATGTTACATAAAAATGACAAATTTCCCTTAAAGATATTGTTCATTATTTTTGTTAGATTAACAAGTTTTATACTTCTTTAGCCTGCATATATATTACTTCAAAACTATATAAATAAAAAATATTACAGTTATACAGTTAAATATAGACAGTTACTGGTTGGTACAGTTCTACTGTATACTTTATATTATAACAGTCCACACAGTTGAATGGATCAGTCTCAGGAATTTTATCTGATATTCCCACAATATCCCACCTTCATCCATTCATTCATTCATTCATTTTCTAACCACTTAGTCCAATTCAGGGTTGTGGGGGAGCCCAGACCTATCCTCACAATCAATGGTCGCAAGGCAGGGCACACACTAACACCTTGGGCCACTTTTCACAAAAATATCCCACCTTGAGTATGGAGTTATCTTGACGGGTGTTCTTGGTATCGTAACCCTCTAGTAAGCATCTACGTGTCGTACTCCCAGAGCCTGCAAACTCAGCCAGATTTAGGTCAGCAAAACCAAGCTGCAAAACAGAAAGGAAAATAAGCCTTTTTGTTTAATGTTTTTATTGATCACTGATAAGAGGTGGTCTTGTACAACGTTTCTCTCAAAAAAGACATGTAAAACGTACTGTTTTATAACATCACGTTGATGTACATTTTCCCCTGTTACCAGGCCACCCTCACCACAAACTGAAAAGGCTACTACAAAAAGAAAACTGTTGAATTATATTATTTTCCTCAAGGTAGAACAAATTTAATTTCATTTTTTAAATTACATAAACCAAAAAGTCCAATGGTAACTTTCAATCACGGTTACATAGGACTATAAAATGATAATAGCTATCCAGACAAAACTAAGGGCAAGCTGAAGATAAGACTGCTTAAAGTTCTTGTATGTTTAAGATGCTTTAAGTGGTGCATTTTGAAAACCCACAAATCAAATCCAAATAAAAAAAGCAGATCCATTAAAGGGAGCAATTAGCACTGGTGATTTAGAGTTCATGTGTTGAAAACAATCAGACGCATCTGCTCCACATGACCAGAATAACAATCAACAACTCGTTGTTAAGGGCTGAGGGGTACACTAACTGTTCCAAATGATCTCCAAATTACTTAATTAAATAAACCATGTATAATTAATCTCTATTAAACTGTTCCACCATCCATTTTCTAAACGTTTCTTCCAATACAGAGCTGCAGTGGAGCCAGAGCTTATCTTGACAAGAAACTGACGCCAAGCAGGGAACACCCTGGATGGGACACCAGTCGATCACAGAGCAGACAGGCAGACACAGAGACACACACACAGTATGTCCATAAAAGGTGATGATTTAATGGCTTAAAATTTTTGACATTTTGTTTCTACCTTACCTTTGCAAATGTTTTTCCACCCTTTAGTTCCTGGAAAGAGAATTTTTTGGATTATTATTGGAGCAGAAAATATGACTTTTTCCTAAATTATTGACTAGATGAGATCCAATGTAATCTACTTTTATATAAGATGGGTACATTTATGTTTAGACAAAAATGGATTTACCATTTTTAGCAAAGCAGGTATCAGACAATCTCAACTGCTCAGGAAACACTAATGTATGCTATCCCAGCTTTGTGATCATATAATACAGAATCTGCTTTATTTCTGCGGGGAAAAAATGTATACTGAAAGACTTACAAAAATATTATTTTTTTATAAGATTTTTTAAAATATGATTTACAATTGACAAAAAAAGACCACCAAAAAATGAAGTCCAATGTGTCAACAAGGCAAAGAAAAATAACACATACCTTCCTTACTGATACTCTGCACACACAGGGATCTAACACTCCAGTACTGGCACTGGCACTCATCTTACATGGGAATGAGAAGGTCTTCCTCCAGCGAACACAGTTGGCTTGCACCACCTCCCTAAGCAGAAATGAAGGCAGAGACCATGTCAAAACAAAGTGCCATAGTCATCTACATCCATTTTCTAACTGCTTCATTCCAATTCAGGGTCGGAGAGGAGCTGGAGCCTAACTTGTCATACAGGGGGCGTGAGGTGGGGTACACCCTGGTTGTGACACCAGTCCATTGTGGGGCACAGCCATACACACCAACACTCTCACGCCAGGGCCAAATTTTACAAGAAGACAATTAACCTGCCAGTGTCTCTGTGGACTGTGGGACATGGGGAGAACATACAAACTCCATGGTGATTACACCCCAGGTCAGGAATTGATCCCAAGGCCCCAGTGCTTGGGCAGAGATAGCATGCCACCCTGTACGAAGCCTTGAATCTACAAATCCCAAATAACTTCTAGAAAGATGTTTTGGTCCAACTCATCACCAAAGCCTTTTGCCTTCAAGGTTTCAAGGGTGTATATCAAAAGCTCAATACCAGAGTCACACTGGAAGCATTCAACACAAAGTTTCAATGTATCATGTTTGAATATCCAAACGTTCTGATCTCTACCTTAATATGGTTACTTAAAAAACAGCTGGCCACATCAAATATTAAAAGCTGGCAAATACAATGGAATACCATCAGACTTAGCTTTCAAACAAATTAAAATTCAACAATCATATTAGGGTACATACTAACAGTAATTTAAATATAAAGCTGTATGCACCTTGAGAACTAATCACCCTGTAGTACAACATTAAAAAATGTAGAATTGGCAGTTTTTAGGCTCCCCTACCCCATTTACAAATTTAAAACAAGTGGTTCTCTCCATCTTTCACTAAGAACATACCGCACATCTGAATAAAATTCACAGAATCTAACTGAATTCCCTTCTCAAGTTGTGTAATGTGATTAATTAAAACACTTTACACACACTTCAGGAGTAAATATATAGTTCTTCTGAAAAAAGAAAGGCACAACTGATAAGCACATTTGCAGAACATTCATAAGACTAAAATAGAAGATGGGGCAGCCACTCCAGCTAAACAACAAATCTTCAAATCTTCACAATCCTGATCGTTACAATAATCTAGTAATTAAAACATGCAGCCTTAAGTTTTATACTCAAAACAGCAGTTCTTCCACACAGCAGCAAATATTTATCATGGAAAATTGAACGCTACTCAACTACTTTGGGCCAAAATGCCACGCCTTCTTGTGCTGTTGTTTTTTTAAATCAAAATCTGTTAACCAAATGGTAACTATAGAAACATAATAAGACAAAACAGGTTGTAGTCATTCTGGCAAACAGTCAGTTATGATGACAAACATGCATGGGTATCACCACTTTTGCCATAAATAAAACGATTCACTGATTTGTTTTTGGTTTCTATGATGTGGTCAATTCTAAGAAACAGCTCACTTTTAAATGCACTGCATGACAATACTGAATTAAGATTACATTCAGAATAAAAAATTCATTGCTGGCATGAAACTGAAAAGCCTATCTCTCACTGTGTGAGAAATGGATGCATTTTTATCTTATTCTTATTCTTATTTTAATTTACCAGATCAGAAAAGGCAACATTGTAAAGACTTTGCAGTTAGTTAGTTTTTTTCGGACACCCTGTCCTTAAAGTTCTATGAAAAGATATATGTGTGTTCACGCTGGCTTTATGCTCTTTAACTGCATTTAAGTAACTGGGGAAAAAAAATCAAATGTATTGTTTTACTGTTTATGGAGTGGTACGATTTAGAGCAGCTTGATTGTAGATTGTAGATTGTAGATGCAACAAGGACAAAAACTGTTTCTTCTCTTCATATTGTTACACCTGAGTGCTAATCTTACAAAACTGAAAGCTACAAATCTTCAGCTACACCAGTTCTAAAACAATATTTATACAATATCTTTTATTAGTCTTAATAATAAATGTGTGTTTTTTTTTAAATAAAAAAACGTTCATTTTTTTAAAATAGTTTACTGATACACTATATTTACGATTTAGACTGTTTCTGACCTCTACACAGTAACATGGCAGCTAATAATAGATACATACAACATAGAATATAAATCTTTACAGTGGTTTCACAGAACACTAATTATCGCAAATCCTAAACTACCTAGTGTTGGTTTAGGAAAGAGAAGCTAAATCCTTTGCTAATCAGGATATACATAACCAGCGCATGCTTTTGTCTTACGTGCTACTGGCCAAGAATTAAAAAAAACACTGGATTCTTCTGTAGACTCTTTACATCACCAGGTGGATCAAAGCAAATTATTCAAAATGAAATCGAAACTGCCACCAGAACGATCAGGTTAACCCTGAGGAAACAAGTGATCTGCAACATGCAATTGTTTACAGAAGGGATCATTTCAGATTAGTGGGCTACCCCCTCATTTGGAAGGAGGAGGGTTCATACACAGGAGATGGAGCCTGACTTTTCTCTCAACATTAGCTGGGCAGGAATTCCCGCCGCCTTGTTCAAACCATTCTTCATTAAATCTTTAAAACAAACGGACAATCCAGCACTGTCTTCGTTTCACTTGATCTGTAACAAGATGGCAGTTATTAAGCATCCAGGAAATGCAGCCAAAACACCCATCACTGCAGTTCAGCTTTGAAGAAACCTGAATATTCTCCCCTACAAGAATCTTGACACTTTCACCTCTATTTCATTTCCTAAATGCTTTATAAAAGCAGTCTACAACAGATCAGTTCATGATCCCCGGTGACACATGAATGTGAAAAGAAAAGCTATTTCACCTGTGGAACGAACCAGCAGTACTTCATTTAGAACACTTTATACAAACAAAATAGCCTATTCGCATCCACAGACTGCAAATGTGACACGAATAGAGAATTTGCACCTACACAACTAAAACATGGCTTTTCCACCACAGCACATTGTAGATTCTATTGTAGTTCTATCAGGAACCATCAGCAGCTACTGTATGTGATGCTCGCACATCAAAGCACACCATGCTTCTGCAAACCGCTCAAGTGAAAGGCTAGGAAGTGTGATAATGGCATTGCATTTCCATTTTTTTTTTTTGCTTGAATCTAGTTAGCACTAAGTGGAGCAGGAAGAAGAATTAAAGGAATATTTGATTTACAGTGAAACCCATTTACAGTGAGACACAGTGCACTCTACTGATGAACAGATCCTCTGGGCTTTCTGCCTCAGAGCACTTGCACTTCAGACCTGGTTTCTCTAGTTTCTCATGCTTTGCCAACAGAATCATTTCTCTCCTTAATGTCAGCTAAAATCAAAATCGGCACAGATGCAAACTTTTCACAGATTTCAAAATGGTAAAAAAGTTGGCATATGCATCAGAATTTCCAGAACGCATCTAGAACTAGATTTCCCTGTGACCTGGAAATCTCCCTAGATTTATGACACTCTTGTATAGTAAAACTGGCTGAAAAATACAGAATACAACAAGCCAAATAATGAAAAACTGCCTATGACCTCTATCTAAAAATGTTCATGACTGTCTGTAAATTGTTCACATTTGAAAAGAAACCAATCTGAACTGTTCTTCTACATCATTAATTCATAGGATAAAATGACACATAAAAATATTTTGTGATTCAGATCACTTTGCTCTGGCAAAATTGTGTTAAATTCTACTTTTCTACTTCACCTTCCATTAAAAGGAAATTTCTTGCAGACTTGAAGACTTCCAGTTATAACTATTTATTCTCTGCATCCTAAAACAGCAGAGTATTAATTAGTATTCTTAACATAAAATTCTGACTAAATCAAGGCATTGACATAATGCAGATTTTCTTCCAATATACTGCAAAATCTTGTCAGCACTATGTGGGCTAAAGTACCATTTGGCAGAATCCTGTTTCAAATGCCACTATATTTAGATGTTCATAATGATACACTGCCTGCATCTTCTGAGTACAGCAGATCTGAAAATAGTTTATCTCACTTATGTACAGGATTTGTCTTGACAGTAGCGAGGTCATATGTGACCCTTAGCTCCATTACCAATCACTTTTAATTTTCTATATGATTAGAGTCTTGTGTACATCTATGTGCTAGCCGTCCCTAACAGATCATTTTAAGTTCAACATAATATATAACGCGCTGACAATATCTTTCAGAGAGTCAGAGACATCAATCATAGAAAGTGTTGCTCACATCTGCATTAAAAGTAGTATCACTCGTCTCTTGATTGTGACGATCTCTTGATTAAGCTAAACAAAAAATGCTACGATTAGCAAGGTTTCCAACAGACTAAAACAGAGTGATGAATAATAATCTAAGAATCTGAAGCCCCATTATTTTAGTACATACCCGATACAAAAAACGACTGAAGCAAAGGAGGACACCACTGACTAAGTAATGTCACTCCAGACTGAATTCAACACAGGAAGGGGAGCAACGTACCAGCAACATGTATAATAGCCAGGGCTGATGACAAAAAGCAGCTGGTGACTACACTGCCTAACTTTAAAACAAGCAATCTCATGTCTCTAATATGACCCAAGAGGCTTTGCTGCAAAAGCAAGTTAGAAAACTCTTTTTTCCTCCCATGTTCATTAGTAGGGTGACATACAGTATAGGCTTCCTACTCCTGACAAGTTACTAGACAAGGTTGCACAGCAGACAGAGAAAACAAAGTTTAAATCTGTGATGTGGAATGTGGAAAATGAATAAATTAATTGAAACAAACTATGCACAACTAGATTAAGAAACATTTCACTTACATATCAACTCAACTGAAATTGTAAAAAGGTAACTAATGTACAGAACTGGATTTTTTTTTCTTGTAAAATTCTTCCAATCCAAGATTCAAATACTGGTATAACTGCAGAGCTTAGTGTACATAATGGTGGGTACATCTTAAAAGTCTTTTAAAGACCTGTGCTCTGTAAGGGGTCAAACTAATGTCTGTACATCACGAGCGCAGTCCACAAACAGAAGTCAGACTCACTGGATCTTTGAACTCCTAATCCAGCTTTGTATATTTCGGTCAACCATCTACACAGATCTGTTAAAGGTCAACATCAAAGGCCAAACACCAAGTTAGCCAGACAGGTTTGAGTAGATCAATGGCCATGGGTACACCATGTAATAAAACTACTGACTTATGTATCAACAGTTCAGCTTCATTTGGACTTGAAGCCGTCTGACTTTGTGACTAATTTAAAAGATTTTCCCCCTATGAATATTCCTTTCCTCATTAGACCGAAGAAGAATGTATCAATAAAAAAGTGAAATCTGAAAGAAAAAAAACATAGTTCAAGGCATTTATTCTCGTAACATATTGTTGACTTGCATATCCATTTGACACATAGGCATTTTTGTCATAGCTTTTACTGTGGTTTATGCATGCCCAAAGATGTGTAGCTTAAGCCGAATTGCTTTCTATTTATCAAAGACACATCATGGTTAAATGTGTTTATTGACGATTTTCATGAGAATAGATTACTGGAAAAGGATAATGCTTTCCCAAGGCAGACATGGGCATCATAAAATCTCATTTATTTATGTCGTTGCAAGTGAGCTGCAACTGAAGCGATGCTGGCGTTTCTTAAATCACCAATTAAAAAAAAATCAGAAGAGTCATAATTGCGTCTTGACATGACAACCTAGCGTAGAAACAGATAAACAGATTTCAGTCTTGCAGACAAAATAAACCACAAAAGTGATTCTGACACAAGTATCAAAATGGGGCAGTACTATAGCAACCAAGTACTTCTACATATACAGATCCAAAATCATAAATAGCTCCAGCTGCATTCCCTTCTGCTTCTCCTTCCTGCAAATAAGAAACTGGATCACTGGGAGCATTCTTAAATGCTTACTGGAAAATCATGAATGTTCAGCTTAAATGCAGCAAACACAAGTATCACAATTTCAGAATGAGTCACTTTATATCCTGTATGGCGTCAATTTGGAATTTCAATACTCAGTACTGGAGGTTTCCCTGACTCATACTGTGAGTGTGGCGAATGTGTGTGGTTGTACTTCTATAAATATTCCCCAATGTATGCGTTACCATTGCTAGTTTTGAAAATACTGTCCGTATGCACCACAGTTTCTGGATGAAAGTAAAACAAGTGGTCTGCAGCTCTGGTTTGCTTTTTGTCAGCATGTAGCAAAACTGAAAGATCTGTAGGTTTTTGTTATTCATCTGTATGTGCCCAGTGGGCGAAGAGTACGTAGGGAGGCTGACAAGCTGAGCTGGACAGTCCAAGGTGTGTTTTAAGAATGTACAGTAGCTGAAATATCTAAAACAATCTCATTTCCACTAACTTCTATTAGATACCATGAGAAAAGAAAATTACAAGGAGACTTGGCTCATGTAAGCACATTAGTCAAAGGTGTCAACAAGGTAAACCTCTTGGTTAAGGACGTCTATAGAATGAAAACTGAAACACAAACTAGAAGATGCAACCAGAAACCGCAGAGTAATGATTTTAAGACTCAGAACATAGGCACATCTTTATACAGAGAATTGCAGGAATCTGTAAATAGTTATTGAGATATAATTTGAAGCCGACACTCTGGCTTCAAGAGGGTTAAAATGAAATCCTTAGATCAAAGAGTTGCTATCAACTAAACAAGCTAGATTGTCTAAATGATGTCTGTTCATTTGTATCCAATTTTATGTTTTTATTTTCTCAATGCTTGCTTTTTTTGTTAGTACAAAATACTAAGCTAAGGTTTTATCTCACCATTTCATGAATGTTGCTTTGTTCCTCCTTGTGCTTAAGGTTAATGGAGTTCATTTTATTCAGTACCTGTATCCAGGTCCCAGAAGGCTTAATTATTCATTTCTTTAGGGTCAGCTATTAAACTCTTTCATCATGCAATATTGTATGATTTACCTTGTGTTTGTTTAAGCTAAGTGTTGGGCAGTTGGACAATATAACTGATTGTAAAAATTGCAGGTCAAACTTCAAAGTGATAAACTGACTGAACACTGACAAGTATGCAACACTTATTCAACACATATTTCACAAACAGCATACAAAATGGTAGTGTTGCAGATAACCATAAGGTTTTGGTCTAAAACTCAAATTATCATGAAAAAAATTAAAAACCAACACCACACATTGCACACACACACACACGTTCAAATAAAACTTCAAAAGCATCAGCATTGCTCATTCTTTCTACATCTGATCCTGAACTGCACATATTTGCATCACTTCAGCGATAACTCCTGCAAGTTATCTATACCTGTTCCTTTTACAAATTGATGAGGACGTTAGGTCTTGTGCATCCACTCATCTTATTTAAAAAGTTCTATAAAAGGGAGAATGCATCTGCTGCGTATAGATTTGGGTATATATAGAATATATATTGGTTTCTCTGAAATAAGCACTGTGCGTTTTTTCTGATCATGTAAAGACCATCAAAGTGCAACAGTTTCCCTTATTACCGTAAAGATTAGTTCAAAACTGCCACCACAGTAGAATTAAGATCAGCTCTCTACATTTCACCCCACAAATACATTACAGGGCGTTTCCTGCCACAGATAAGCTATCTGCACTCAGACAATAGCTCATAACTATTTGCAAACACTTGGTTCACATGGTTTTAAGATTGTATAAACCCTTATTCATCAAGGTGAGGCATGCTAATCACACCTCTACCATCCATTCAACCCAGACTTACTTGTTCAAGCCTATGTTTCTCAATCACGTCAAACCCGTCAGCTTGAAAGGGTGTGAAGATTGTGAGCAGGTAAAAATGACCGAGCAGAAAGGATGGCCAGTTCAAGAGGTGTGACCGCTCTCAGCTTGATGAATACTAGGGAAGCTTTACTTGAACAAGAGCATTTCCAAATGCTCTTGAAACCAGATCTTATTGTATGCTTTTTTAACATACCGATACATCGGTCATAGCAGAATCCAAGAATGGGTTCTGACAGTAAAATTGGGAGGCCTATAATGGTAAAAAATGTCTTGACAGTGTATTTTTGCATCCTGTTGCATACAGATTGCTCACTAAATGCATTTGTGTCATCAGAGGCAAGATGCATATTCAGCAATAACATTTAAGTTTGCAAGTGCCATGAACTAATTCATCAAGCAACACCGAGTGAGAGCACAGCTTTGCTAATAATAGGATGTAGTAGTCTGCTATTCCAAATATGACAATTTCCACTTCTGTGTGTGACTATGATCAATTTAAAGAGGTTAAAGTTGTATGAGCAGGGAAGCAAAATTGTTCTTCTTTATTGAACATCCTCATTGCTGCATACTGAAAGTGTATTATTGCAAACTTGATTACAGCTTAACTCTTCCAGTTTCATACTGATTCCACCTTACATTTTTCTCCTTACACTCAATGTCTCACACAATACACTCATTGTATGTCTTCTATCAAGCAACACCAAAAGCCTACACATACTAATGACAATCATAATACAGGTGCATTGCATCAGATCGTGTTAATGTAAAACCGATGCAATATCTTTTAAAAATGTATGAAAGCGTTTCATGTGCTTTAATAGCTTCAGCACAGATAGTCTACACTTAGAAATCAGTTGCTAACTTCTGTATTGCTTTCTGACAGTTCAGATTGACATCAATCTGTCACCCACGGCCATCGACTTCCTGTGATTGTTATGAAGCCATTACAAATCATTAGTGCTTTAAAACCCGGCACATATTTTATTAATACAGCATTAGTATAAGAAGTGCAGATGACCGTCAACTTTACCATGCATGAATATTCATTTCAAGATATATATAAAGCTTTACAGAACGCAATAACATCAACTACAACGGAACAATGTTTTCAATTACTTCATCACCTGTACTTTTTAATCCCCCCCCAAGTGAAAATAAAAAAAAACAGCAATTATCAATGATGACGAGGGTGGGAAAGAAACCACAGTTACAGTATTCACTTAAATAATAAAATATTTTTACCGAGATGATTCCTCCGAGAAGCCCCCGTCAAGCAGCCTGACTTTACAGAAGAGGACGCCGTTAACAAAAGGCACAGAGGACAGTTCGTCCAGTTCGAAGTCAACCTTAAATTTAAATTTCTTTTTCTTCATCATGATGAAAGCCATATATTGGGTGTAGGAGCCTGTGCACTCTCCTTTAAATTTCACCGTCCTCCAAGCAGGCAGCGTTCAAAAATCTACACCCCCATGATGACTGGTAACGTAGACGGAGGAAGAAGCCCTTTTCTGTAATGGTATTTTTCAGAAGTTGTTGATTCGTCGATAGACGAACGAATTTCCTCCCCCCGGATACATGTATGCCATCCGGTTGAACAGCCTCTCATTTTAAATTTTGTAATTACATTGCGATTCTTGTTTGGCAAAACGATCCGAGATATAGAACAGTGCACCTTGCATCGTTAGCGTCGTATTTGAACAAAAGTGAACATTCGGCGCTCCTTGTGTCACCGAGGGCACTGGAGGGGAGCACAAGCTATGGTGTACGTAATATTTAAAGAGGCAGGACGTGCACCAATGGTTTAGTCCAAGTAATTACTGTTTACATAATAATTATTAGGCTCTGACAGAACTAAGAAGATATCGAAACTTTACCAGTATTAGGTGTTATACCGTACTGTGACCTAGAAGCTAAAATATCGTAGGGCTCACAATAAACGCAATTCTCAAAATCTCGAAGATGCATGGTTCTTTAATTAAAATTGTTACGCTGTCATGAATTACTATCGTCGTAATGTTTTTTATCAGTACTTGTTTTTTTTAAAAGTGGTGCTGGTAAAAAAAAACAGTACCACGTTTTAAATGCACCAATGAAATAAACCAATTAAATAATCCACAACTGATATCAGTTGTTTTTTTCGTGTAACAAAAAGACTTAATCAAAAATGACAAAGTTTTTATTGCTGTTTTTAGCAAAAATATTAGAACCTAAGAAACGCCCAAAACAGTTTTTGCATAGGATCTAAATGTCTTAAGCCTTCCTTTGTACACGCAGCTCCTCCCCTTAGGGTGTTCGGCCACCGCTCTTTTTCAAAGGTGCACTAAAACTAAAAGTAATCTTCACGAGCTCATGCCGCCTGTGTCAAAAGATATTTGCTGTACACATTTAGCTATATTGATTTAGGGAATAAGAGTAGTAGTAAGATGTCAGCTCACACTACATTCAAAAATGTAGAACTCAAATGTTTGTTTTTTTACAGTGAACAGAATTTTGTTGTTGGTTTTAACCAACCAGCCAAACTGGTTCCTGGGAACACTTGCAAACACAAACGGATCATCTTAAAGATACAAGATTTTTAAGTGTTAAAATTAACAGCATGTCAAAGAGAATGGGTTTAAAATACAAAAATGCAGCATACATCCGTATACTGTAAGTTTTCTTTCTTTTTTTACCCAGTCCACAACTAGTTTAGCAGGAAATCCAAGAGTGGTTATTTCCTGATTTTACAGGACAATAAAGGACACACTTTATTGTTGGCCTTTCTTAAATTTGTGAAAAATTATATAGATATCTAGATAGATATCTTATTATATTCGATATCCACATTTTATGTTTGCTATAGAAAGATGTCTTGAATTATTTGGCTGATCTTGTCAACAAATGTATTTAACAATAAAGCTAGTGTAGGATTAAACCTGATATTACCATTCTTACAAAAAAGAGAACAACTTCTAGCTTGTTTGGTTACTATTGCAGAATTGATCTTAGGATCTCTTTTAACCATTTCTTGAAAGACCAAACAGATTAGAGTAAACATAGTGTGGCTGTTCTTAACAGACAGCCACCACCCTTTGTGTAAAGGATCGCTTTCATAATCTCAGTCCTAAATGTCCAAAATGCTTAAAATTCTATTTTCTCAGTACATTCTCAGAACTTTTAATTCTTCTAAATTCATTCTAAGCTTTTGAAATCTCATCTCTAAGTAATTTCTCCAGGAGCCAAATATTATTTTGTCCTCAAATATTGAACTCAATAATAGAATTCATAAGGAAAACATTGAGTTACACTTGCACAAATCTATGGTAAGGGCAATTTGTAGTAGTTAAATCACCAATAATTCTCACACCCTAGGGCAGACTCAGGAAAAGTGTTTTTTCTGTTGTATGAGTCAAAGTATTCAAACTATGGTATGAAATGTTGTTGTAACAAAGACAAAGGAACTGGTGGTAGATTTCAGGAGGAAAAAGGTCAAACCTACTCCTGTCTACAT